AAGCAGGTGATAGCTACAGCAGAAAGTTAGAACCTTCTTGGCTGGGCAACAAGGGAGAACTGCCTCTGCTCTGTCGCCTGAAAGGGACCTAGACTATGTGGAAGAGGAGGGTGGAACTGGTCCACTTCCTCTCAACATCAAGTTTTCTACCAGGGTTTGCAGGCAACTGACAGCCTGTGTTCTTTCCATGTTTGCAAGACCTTTGCTTTCCAGGGTGGTAAGACGTTGTAAAGGTTAACACAATTTCTTTCTTTATAATAGTTGTGTGTGTGTGTGTGTGTGTGTGTGTGTGTGTGTGTGTTTGCTTGAGTGCATTATGAGCATGCAGGAGCACACAGAAGTCAGAAGACCACATCTGATCCCCTAGAACTGGAGATACAGGTGGTTATGTGCCACCATGTGGGTGCTGGGAATCATACCCCAGTCCTTTGCAAGAACAAAAAGTGCTCTTAACTACTAAGCCATCACTCCAGTCCCAATTCTTTTAAATATGAGGAAAACAGTGGCAGTCACCTCAGTGAGCTATGGAATGTGATGTCTGAGAGCTGACTGTACAGAGTTCGGGTTTTCAGACATGAATTCAAACCCACATTGTAGCTGCCTTAGTTGTGTGAAGTTAGGGCCATTAGAGAATATGACTGTCACTTCCCTTGTAAAATGGAAAAGTCTTATAGCTAAAACAATGCCCATCAAATTCTTAATGTAGTACCCAATGAGTGACACAAGTGTTCAATGGATGAAACTCAAAATCAGTATTCATTTAATTGCTAAAGATATTGCTTTTAAATTCTTTAGTTTCTTTTCAAGCTCTTTTACTGTATATACTTGTATGTTGAGCCAATTCCTTCTGCCATTCCCCTGCTTGCCTCTTCAGTCTCCTATTGGTCATCCTTGTCACCCTAAGGAAATTACTTCCGCCTATGTAGAAAGATCATCCCTGACATTGGAATTCAAAAGTTCATTATTCAGGCTGGCAAGGTGGCTCAGTGGGTAGTGGTGCTGTATGAAGACCTGATGACCTGAGTTCTACTCCCAGATCCCAGGAGATGACAGGAGTGAACTGACTCCTCAGCGATATCTTCTAACCTCCATGTGTGTTGTGGATGTGTGTGCATGTACACACACAAATATCAAAATACATTTTTTACTTTTATTCTTTTTTATTTGAGTGGATCCTTCCCCTCTCCCAACTCCTCCCAGCCTCATGTTCTTTCTCTCCTCATATTATTTCTCTCTCTATTAAATTCTTTAAAAGTTAATTATTTCACTGATTTTGTAATGAAAAAAAATTGCTCTGATGTAATATCTGTATCTGCTTAATTTAGGGTCCCCGTGTTTACTTCGCTATTACAATAGATAGAGGTGAGGATAGAATAGAATAGTTAAGATCTGAGACCCCCCCCCAAAGCCTATGTATTAAAGATTTGATCCCCAGTTCACGATGTGTTTGCAGGTTGCTGAACCAGGAGAGCGACCTACTGGAAGGAAACAGAACATTGCGGGTGTCTTTGAAAGGTGTGTTGGAAGGTAGACACCATCCTATCTCTGTTTTTACTTCCCACTGTAATAAAAATAGCCAAAGTAGTGGTTTCTCCACCATACTGCCTGGTAGGTTTGGTCACAACCCCAAAACCAGGAGACCATGGACCCAAAACTTTGAGACAATCATTCGCTGCTTACGAACTGTCTCTAGAACTGCTGTGGTGAAAGAAACTTGTTGTGGCTGGATTACGAAATGTGCTCCTCAAATGATCGACATCTCTCTCCTTCTACAACCTACAAGGTGAGAAGACAGGCAGGCTTTGCTGTTTGGTTTGCCTTTATGACTACCTTTACCTGTCAGTACACTTTAAAGCATATTAAAGTATTAAATAAAGGTTCAGATGTCCTCAAGTGTTCCAAACCCTATAGAAAGAGAGTATTCAAACAGACGAAGCTTTATTTTAAGTTCCTTGTTTAAACTTTTGCTTTTGCTTCTACAGACAACAGCGCCTAGCACACCAGGCAAAACTGAAACCTGCAGGCTCTTCCGAGAGCTCTCATTTCCCTTGTCTCACAGCCGCTTGTCTCATAGCTGCCCAAGCAACCACTTCCTGAAATGCAAGCGCACACACACTATCCTATACCATACACACTGAAGACTGAGTACTCGGGAAATCTCCACACCTTCAGTTCGTCCCCAGGGACAGGCTCTCATGGTGGAGAGACTAAGTTTCGGCAACTTCTAGTCTCTCAAAAGTTGTCCCTTTCTGCTTTTCTTCTAGCAACGTGATTTTGAGTGGCTTTCCTGAGCTCTCTCGCCCAGTCCTTAGCAAGAATCTGCGGAGTCGCTGACAGGAAGCAGGTGTCTGGTGCCATCGGAGGGCAGGCCCGTGTGGGAGCCGCAGGTCTCCGCAGCGCATCCCAGGTGACTCTGGCCCGACCCTCCTTCCCTGGACCAAGGGGTTTAGAAGTACCTTAGAAACCGCACCATCCGTCAGCTGGCTTCAAAACAAAGAGTCCTTTCAGCCACTTCAGATGCTGGCTCGTCGCCATGGAAACCGTCCTCCGCCTTCCTCCTCCCTCTCCCCTCCGCCGGGCGCCCCGCAGCTGCGTGGGTGGAGGCGCCGCTTTGTCCCCGGAGGCCGGCTTTATTTCCCGCCTTTGTGGTGGACTAGAGAGAAGTCACCCCCGGGAATTCACTGTAGAAATCCCAAGTTCTTTTCAACCATCCTGGTTGGGTCCTGGACAGTCTGTCCCCATCAGGCCCAGCAGCGCCACCTTCCGTGGCGAAGAGCGTACTGCCCAGTCCGCCGCTGCGCAAAACCAATACCGGCCTAGCCATTGTCACTATTCTAGTGACATTCAACATTTGAGCAGCTAAGAGCTTTCTTGGCTGAAAAGACATAATAGTTATGTAAACAATCAGGACGTGTTTCCTGGTTTTTCTTTCCCCCAGGTGCTTCTTATTTTAAATGATTATGTACTTTCAAAACTTGTATTAACTTTGATAATTTCTCAATATTTACTTTATCTTTTCTATGAAGGAACTTTTTTTAACATTAAAAATTTTAAGGAGCCAGAAATCAATTTTTGGCTGTCATGTGAATTTGAGAGTTTGGGGGTCCTTATAGGTCCATGCATCTATAAATTGTCCGAGGAATTCTAGAATGGAGACAGATGGGACTTACAAGATCTGTCTAGAATAAGAAAGGAAGGAAGGAAGGGAGGAAGGGAGGGAGGGAGGGAGGGAGGGAGGGAGGGAGGGAGGGAAGGAGGGAGGGAGGACGAATGAACGAAAGAGAAAGAAAGGCGTATATAGTCTGAGAGCAAAAGACCAAGAGAAGGCAGAACAGTGTGCGGAGAAAAACAAGCTGGTGTCGGTATGCAGAGGAATACAGAGCTGCATACAATGCGTTATATGAAGTCACATTTCCGTTTTCCTTGGGAGTGGTCCCAGTATTCCTAACGCTGAATTTCATAAAGGCAGATGCTAGAAGAGGAGTCTGAGGCAGCTGCGTCACAGTTTATTGTGTCAATTTTAAAAGAAATTTGAAAACCATTATCAATTGGTCAAAAGGCCACCTGAAACACTCAAGGAATGCTGCGTGAGCAGAACACGGAAAAGTGCCACGGGTGACTGACCGGGGGAAGTTTCTCTGCTCTTCACTACAAAAACAAACAAACAAACAAACAAACAAAAAACCACATTTGATGAACAGGAAGCAGCCGGGTCTGGCACACAGTAGACACGTGTTTGCAAAGCTGAGGTTTGGTTTTTCCTCCAGAGAGCAATCTTTATCTAAATAACTACTTAGAAAATAGTATGTTACTTGAATTCTTTTTTCAGTCCTAGCTGTTTTCTTCCCCCAGGAAAAAAAAATTTCATTTGATGAATATTTTTTCTCTAATTTCAAACGGGAGTTATGAAGCAATGTCCCAAATTGCTCTTTTTATTTTTTAGCTTTGAAATTATTTTTAAATTTTATTTTACACCCCCACCACCCTGAGGCAGGGTGGATAGATTAAACCTTTAATTCTAGGACTGGGGGAAAGGGAAAGAGAAACAGTTCAAATTCAAGGATACTCTGGTTTGCATAGTGACTCTCAGACTAGCCAGCTACCCAAAGAAACTCTGCCTCTGAACAAAAACAAAAGGGAAAATCCTTTTCTTGCATGTATTAAGTACGAGTTTGCATTTGTGCGTGGAAGCCCTTGTAGACAGGGTTAGAAGACAACCTTGACTGTTACTCCTCACCTTTCACCTTGTCTGAGAAGAGGCCTCTGTTTTTGTTTTGGGCACTGCCAGAGACCTCTAGGAGACTAGGTTGGCATTGCCATCATCACCATAGCTTGCCATTTTATTTTACAATGTGCCCAGTCTTGCTGCAAACACCTTTAACACCTCACCTTACTGAATGCCTTATTTTAGTTTAATTGAAAGTAAATTTTTCCTCTGATCTCTGCTTCACATCTTTCCAAGTCATAGTGACCCTGATCATTTTGAATTTAAAGTTCTTTCAAAGACCCGTCCGACACCTTTATTTTACGGTTAGGGAACTGAGATTCTGAAAGTAGAAGTGTCTATCTCTGTCTCTCCTTTTCCCTTCCCTCCCCTATTCCCCCCCCTCCCCCTTTCTGGTTTGGCTCTCCCTGTGTGTAGTCCAGGCTGGCCTCGAACTCACTGATATCTCCTGCTTGTCTCCTGAGTGCTTGTCTCCTGCTACAACGCCAGCAGAAGTCGCTTTTTAAGTGCACCTGTGTAATGGAGGATAGTTATGATTATCTATGACGCACTAAATTAGTTAAGTCGTATCCGGGGAATCATTCTACTCTTCCAGTCACTTTCTAGCTTCCTGGAGACCCTTAGTGACTGGAGGGCCATCGTCTTCATCCTCCAATCAGGCCTTGGAGCCACAGGGCTACACCAATTGAAGGTTACCGGACCTGCAACAAAGACCAATAGGATGCTTAGAGCCTAGCTAGCAACGGGCGATCAATCAGAGCGCAGGAGTGGAGGCCAGGGAGCGACTGGCCAATCCGTGTGCGAGCGGTGAAGAAGGGGCGGAGCCTTTGCGCAAGATGCAGTGCGCTGCGCGACTGCGCTGCGAGATCCGGAGCGGAGCCTGAGACCAGGTCGAAGCTGGTAGGGCTGGGCGCGCGGGTGGGAAGGGCGAGTTTGGGCGTTGCCTGGGAGAGGTGCGGGAGGAGTCGCGGGCTACAGACACCGTTGCCATGGCAACGCAGGTGCACAGTCCTGAGGCCAGGGTCCCTGCTTGTGGACAGTTTTCAGGCTGGAGCCCCTAGGCCCACAGGGCCTCTAATACTCCAGGCTTGCAGGCTGCCAAGCTGCCAAGCTGCCATCTCTCCACTGCCTGCCTTGGCAGCCTGCACACCTGAGATCGGACTATTCCCCTGGGGCACTGGGAAAACAAAGCTTAGCAATAGGACCACTTGTGCTAGCTCTCAGACAGTTCGCCTCAAGGCCACCCCTGGGGTGTAGCACATCTGCCTCATCTATCTTGGAGACTGTAGACAAACTAGGGTATCTCCAGAGATTTTTTTTTTTTTTAAGCCACCCAACGAAGTGCTTTGTGCACAAATAATTCAGAGAATAGGGCCTGAGTGAATAAGATCACAATGACAATGATTCCAGGAGCCAACTCTGCTCAGTAGAAATAGACGGCACATTATATGTGTTATTTTGCATAGGAACCATGGTAGGGTAACAATATGTTAAATTTTGATAATTTTCTTTGATCCAAACATATTACCAGTATTAGATTAATGGTAAGATATTTAAAGTTGTGTCTCTCTTGCCCACCCAAAGCCTTCCAAAACCTTGTGCATCTTACAGTACATGCCAGTTCCACCAGCCACGTTTCAAGTGCTCTGTGCCCATTTAGGTAGTGACTGCCATTTTTGATTAGTTAGGCTTTTTTTAAATTTTGAGACAGGATCTTGCTATGTAACCCATGTTAGCCTTAAATTTGTGATCCTTCTGTCTCAGCCCCCAAGCATTGAGATTATAGACATATACTGTACCGCTTTGCTGGGCAAAGTAGTATTTAAAAAGAAATTAAGTGTATTTGTGTGTGTGTGCATGTGGACAATATGTAGTCAGTTCACCTTGCAGGTCCAGGGAATTGAATTTGTGTCCTTAGGTTTGCTAACAAGCCTTACCTGCTGAGCCATCTCACTAACCTGAAACTGGTGTCTTAAATGGCTATAATTCAGGCAATGGTAAAGATAACTGAAAAAAATATACAACTGAAAAACAAGATGGCTGATGGTTGTTAGGAATTCAAGGGAAGGAACCTTTGGGTTCATGTAGTAGCAGGTGTGCCCAGTCCGTGGCCTGCAGGCCACATGTGGCCCAGGACAACTATGAGTGTTGTGTAAACACCATTCCAACACCCAAGTGTAAACTTACTTACATTATGAGACTTATTTTTCCATTGTGTTTTGTAACTCAATTGTGTGGTTCTTGAGAATATGCTTTGTGGGTGACAGTGCCGTGTTGCCATGTCAAAAGGTTGGATGTGCCTGTGAGGGAAGGGCTTGAGCCTGGTCTTGGAAGAGGGTAAGTCTTGGACCAATGGAAAATAAGAACGTTGTTAATTCAGTGAAACTGAATGGAGTCTTTTTGTTTTTCTTTTTTAAGGGTTGAAAATCAGCCAAATCCAGAGGTTTGTGGACTGAAAAGGTCTTCCTCTCTCACCGGCAAGATTCGCCATGATTCATAGTCTTTTCTTGATCAACTCCTCTGGAGATATTTTCCTGGAGAAACACTGGAAAAGTGTGGTCAGCCGTTCTGTTTGTGACTACTTCTTTGAGGCCCAAGAGAGGGCCACTGAGGCAGAAAATGTGCCTCCTGTTATCCCCACTCCACACCACTACCTATTGAGTGTTTACAGACACAAGATCTTTTTTGTGGCTGTGATTCAGACAGAGGTCCCACCTCTGTTTGTCATTGAATTCCTTCACAGAGTAGTGGACACATTTCAGGTTTGTAAATGTGGAAAGGTTTGTCTATAAACTATAAACCTTAAAAGAGCGTGTGCTTGTGTGTACATGCTTCCCCCCAGTCCCTTTGACAGGCTCTCACTCTGTAGCCCAGGCTGGCCTGAGCTATATAGCCCAGGCTAATCTCTTATTAGCAGAAATCCTCCTGTTTCAGCCTTGTAGGTGCTGGGATTATAGGCATAAGCCAACATACCATCTTGCAAAATATTTTCATAGTCCTGTCTCCATTGTTTGTAGCTTGGGTTAAGAGCATTTTTTTAAAAGTCAAAACCGAACACTGCTCTTTTCCTCTCTGATCTAAGATTCTTGCTTCTGTTTTCTTAACTTGGCTGCAAAAGAACCAGTTGGAAGCTTTTAAGCCTCTTGCATGAGAGAGCTGTCTGCTCCATATCAGTGTGTGATCTTCTTGGGTTTGTGCCTACATTTTGCTCAAAAATTAGGATTCAGATTTTTTTTTTTAATACTGTGAAGTTTATGCTAACCATTGTGAGCTACATTTCTTTGAGTTGTAATCAAAAGCATTGAGTGTAAAGTTTTCTAAAAGAACAAACAGGAAAAGCTAAGTTTACTTTAACTGCCCCTGGCAGGGGTCATTGGTTAAGTTCAACCTTCATTTGAGTGGGCTGAGTATGGGTAGCATGTGTGCTGATAGGACCTCTTGTTACAGTTTTCCATACTTGTGAGAGCATGAGGTTTAGCATGGTTTTAGCTCTGAGGCAGAGGCTCTCAACCTGGAGGTTTCGGCTCCTTTAGGGGTCACATATTAACATATCCTGCATATTTGCATTACAATTCATAACTAGTAAAATTAGTTATGAGGTAGCAACAAAAATTATTTTGTGGTGGTGGTGGTGGAGGATCACCATACAAGGAGGAACTGTACTAAAGGGTTAGGGTTGAGAAGCACTGCTCTCAGGGAGCCAGGTAGAGGGAAGTGAGTTATACCAAAATGTAAGCACAGATCCAGACAGCCCAGTCTTTGTCCTGGTGATCTCAAAACTTCAACTGTGTGGCCATTTGCATTACTTGGATGAGAGATAAAGAGCAAGGCTCTTTGGTTTCACTGCTCTGTCATGTGTGGTCTGGAGTTAGTCATATGCATACAAGAACTATGGAGGGGTTAGGAAAGGGGAGGAGCATGTGATTGACAGTGGTGGAGCAAGTCTTTTCTGCCCCTGCGCTCACTTTCACATCACAGACTGGAACTATTTTCACAGGAAAGAGAATTAAGATACATTTTTACCTCCAAATATTGTTCTAGAATTCTAGTCTCCATGCTGCATGCTAGTCACTTTGCACAGTGACCACCTAAGAGTACAAGCCCAGAATATGAAGGGAATGGAAGAATCCAGTAGTTAAGCCAAGCCATTCTACCTGGGTTCTGCCGTTATTTCTATGTTCTTTACCCATACACAAATTAACAGTCTTATTATTATACCAGTCACTGCATAACTTACTATAAGCCGGGAAGTGAGAAAAGTTGTCTATTTAAAACCGTACAGGTGAAGACTTGAGAGAGGGCTGGCTCATCAATTGAAAACACAACAGCTGCTCTTCCGAGGGTCCAGGTTCCTTTGCCAGCACCCGCACACTGGTTCACAGCCATCTGTAACTTCAGTTCCAGATGATCTGATTCCCTCTTCTGGCCTCTGTGGACACTACATGAACATGTATTGCCAGATAATACCTGTATATGTAAAGGAAAACTTAACAAAAGATTAAAACCACAGAGCTCCACTCAGTGTGGAGCTTAGTGTCTAGCTTATTGTTTGTTCTCTTGTAACATTTGCTTTTCCTAGTTCTTGAAGGTAACTGCTTTTGCCATGGCACCTTGCCACAGTGTGTTTGCTTTATGGAACTCCCAGAAACTGGTGCTTGTTCTTAAAATAAAATCACTGTTGGGAAAGAAACATGGTATTTTCTTCCAATTATGCTCTCTTTTGTTTTAGGAATGTATTCTTTATTCTTAGTGAATTTATCAGGAACATTGTTTTATCTTTTTTCTTCAGTCTCGGTGATGAATACATTTGTTATGTCTTCACTAGGACTATTTTGGAGTCTGTTCAGAGCCAGTGATCAAAGACAACGTGGTTGTGGTCTATGAGGTATTAGAGGAGATGCTGGACAACGGGTTCCCCTTGGCTACTGAGTCAAACATCCTCAAAGAACTGATAAAGCCCCCCACCATTCTCCGGACAGTGGTCAACACCATCACAGGTGTGAGCGGTTTGTGGGTGTGGGTGGGGCTGCAGGGGGCTGATGCTCCCTGAAAGACCTGGCATCTCTGAGTACTTGGAAACTTCATTTTACCTTTTGTGTGCTGTGAGTCTAACCTGGAATTATAGACATATGTGGAAAGTACTTCAATTCTTATGTAGCTCCTGGCGATAGAGCACTTAGCGTGTAATCTGGGTTCTGGAAAAAAGAAACATGCTTAACAGATTTTTTTCTGATTAAAGGGGGAAATATAATTAGTGTGGAAACCTCAGAAACACAGAGATGCACAAGAAGAACATGAAAATCTCCAAAGTTAACTACTCTTTTAATATTTATACACATGTATGGGATGTGCGTGTGTGTGTATTTCTCTTTTCTAGATAGATGAATGATGAGTAGATAGAATAAATACATTTTGATGTAAATTTTATGTATATCAAACTTATGTTTTGCCTGCATAAATGTTTTCACCACTTGTGTGTGTGGTTCCTGAGGAGGCCAGAGGAGAACATCTAATCCCCTGGAACTGGAGTTGCAGACACTTGTGGGGTGCCAGGTGGATGCTGGGAATTGAATCCCTATCCTCTAGAAGAGCAGCAGTGCTCTTAACTAATAAGCCATCTCTCCAGCACTCAGATAGAATACTTCTAAATAATGTGTATATATTTTCAAATCATGCCTCTTACTAAAGTGTCATGACCATCTAATTGTGATAATACTGCCATGATTGTTAGTGACCAGTGTTCTACGTTAGGTGGACCCCTTTTTCGATGTTCCTGGTGTTTTATCCTTTCAAAGACAAAGGACTCTCATGTTTGAGTCTAGTCTACTTGGTTCTAGAGATGCAGGAGTCAGGCTGAGGGGTTTTAGAGATTCCCTCACACCTGACCAGAAAAGTCACAGCAGCCTTTGCTTCCCATGAAGAACCCATTGCCATCATCAACCCTAACTTTTGAGGATGTGAGCCACTAAATACACACTCACTTGTTACTAGGGAAGGTTCCAGACCCGTTTGAGTATGGACTTTTCCCCCTCTGTTGTGACTTTCTGTGTGCTTTGCACATTTATTATTATTATTATTATTATTATTAAGATGTTTTTGTCTCTTTCAACATCGACTTGGAAGAATGCCTTCCGTTGGTGGTTGCCCTCTCATACGGAAGTGTGCCTCTTGGTTAGCAAGCTCCCTGTTGAAAGCTGCATCTCCCTGTTTTCCACAGCCTGTTGCTTCCACTTAGCTCTGTCATGGCATTTGCTGAGCCACATGTGAAATGTTTGACTTAGTGACACTCATCGTGGTGATTCATTGCATTTTTACATGCTTCCTCTTGTTTACTAATGTAAATGGGGTTTCAGAGACTTTGGCAAACTAGTATGAAGAGTATCGGCAAGGCAGCTTTGTGAGGGTATCACAGCAGGGTGTTTCTCAGCCTGTCAGCCATCAAGAAAATTAAGTTCATGTGGCACATTGGAAAGAGAAGGCAGATCTGCATTTTTTTTTTAAGTGAGAGAAAATGTACCAGATACATGCAGTGACATTTTGATGATTTAAAAAAAAAAAAAAAAGTATGGACCCAGTAACAGTTTGTTGAGTATTTTTTTTTTTTTTGCAATATTCTGAGTTTAGTTTAAACCTTAGAATCCTGTGAGTGCTGTGTTAGAAAGTTTTTAGATCCTAGGTCTCACTCAACTGCAGAAGTTCCTTTAAAGCCCCCGTTTTGAAAAGCTGGGCTGTTTTATATATGTGCTGACTATCCACGTGTTTAGGAAATCTTTCTTTTGAGTAAAAAGATACAGGCAGTGGGAAAAGGAAATAGGATTTAAATTAGTGACAGTCATCAGTCCACCCTAAGCTTTGATGTCTGTGAAGCAGGTATCGAGGAAATGGCACACAACTGCAGGGGTAGGGTAGATCTGCCTGTGTTCTCTGTCACCCAGTTTTGGAATAAGACAGACCCTGTTGGTGGAAACACTTCCACCTTCCATTACTGTGACTGAGAACCTGCCTTAAACTAGAGTCCTGTGTCACTGATGGTGACGTTGTGTCAGTGTGTAGGTGCCCAGCCCTACGGAAACACAGCATATTATCTAAGCTGTTGTGGAATTTGAGATCCTTCTCAGTCCTTGTTACTCTCCAAACCAAAATATGATATCCACTTCTCAGGTGGCTTCCTTTCAACCTTTACTGGAGGCAGCAGACCAGATGGCGACAATGGATTTTTATATAAGACCAGACTGTCCCACATAGGAGAAATGGTATCGCATGAGTAACAAGGGTGTAGAAATGTCGAGGGGAATGTTTGAATTGGCATTAAAATATCAATTTGATTTTAGTCACCAGTATGAATTGTTTCAGGAAGTACCAATGTGGGGGACCAGCTTCCGACGGGGCAGCTGTCGGTGGTACCTTGGCGACGGACTGGGGTGAAGTATACCAACAATGAGGCCTATTTCGATGTGGTTGAAGAGATAGACGCCATCATAGACAAGTCAGGTGAGTGCTTATTGTGAAGTGAAGTTGCTCTCTGAGTGTGGAGAGAGGGGCTGCTTTTTTCGAGTGTGCTGGTTGATGCAGCCCACTCTTCACACTTCTCTTGAAGGAGAAAGAGGGGGGGTGAGGATTGCAGTAAGGCATGGGGTGGGGAAGGGGGACTCAGAGTAACAGGTGGCAGTGTGTACCTGCCACGGAATTGAGGCCAGAGGATCAAGATTTCCAGGCCATTTGGCGATGTGCAGCCAGACCCTGTTTCAAGAAACCATGAACGAAAGGGGGATGGTAACAAAGTAAACTCCTGCCTGTTAGATTTTCTGTTTTAAAGTATTGGATTCCCAGGTCTGGAGGCAGAACTAGAGTCATAATGACAAGGTTTCTTCTCTGTTTTTCTTGTTTTGTTTTGTTTCAGTGAAGTAAAGAGAAGTAGGGAGTCCTGGGGCTGAGGACTTGGGAGTGCTTCAAGTTCTTGTACTGGCCCATCCACTGCTGCTGGGAACTTGGGCATAGCACAGCAAGACTGACCATAGGTGTTAGTCTGTGCCCATGGGAAAGTAACACAGGTGGGAAAATGCAGGCAGATGGGCTGGGCCTGGTGCAGAGGCAACTGCTCTTTCGGCAGAATGAATTAATGATGTCCTAACTTCCAGCACTGCTTGGGAACTGTCACTGCAGCTGGGTTCACAGAAATGAGCTGGATTGAGGAGCATGAAGTAAAAGTAAATAATGAGACTTTTAAATGAGGGCATCACAGCATGTCTTCATATTAACACAAATGAGAAACAGTACTCCACAGGGTGACTATATCAAGACTCAAGACTTACTAATCATTTTTTGTTGTGGTATAGTCACCCCGCGGAGTACTACACAGTAGTTAAAAAAAAAAAAAAAAAAAGAATTGCTGATCCACCCATTAGCATGTCGCTTACACTGTTAAGAAAAAAAGTCGGATGTATATGTTATCATATGTAGTGGGTTGCATTTAGTGACACTTGAAAGCAGGCACAATTTAAGGCATCAGAAGTCAGAATTAGGGGGAAGGGGGATGTCATTAGCTAGGAAGGAGGGCACGCATGCTGTCATGTTAGGAAGTTTCCACATTTGATGTGGATGATATTTAAATAGGTGTGTGTATGTTCAAAAATTCACTGAGCTATAGGATTTTTCCATCTAGATATTTTATGTCACTGCAGAAGAATTTTTTTTTAATTGACACTGGAGAGATGGTTCAGAAGTTAGGATTCTGGCTGATCCTCTTTGCTGGGCTCAACTCTAGTCCCAGAGGATCCGATGCCCTCATCTGGACACCAGAGGCACCATACACACACAGGTGATGTGCAAACATACAAGCAGGCAGTAAATATACCCATACATATAGGATAAAAATACAGGAAAAGTATTTTTAAATTTTTTATTAGAGTGACAATCTGTATCAAGCTTGATGGCATATGCCTTTAATTCCAGCACTCTAGAGAGGCAGAGGTAGGTGGACCTCTGTGAATTCAAGGCCAGCCTGGTCTATATTGTGAGTTCTGGGCCAGTCAAGGCTAGATAGTGAGACCCTGTCTTTACAAATGAACAAATAAAAAAATAGAGTGGCCAGTTGTGTTGCAGTGTGGGAGGTTGATATACAGTGAGGTGGCCTGGAGGCAGTGGCAGCATTAGGGGGCCGTGCCTGAAGTCCTGGCTCAAAGTATAGGTGAATAAATGTTCCCAAACAGAGGTGTGTACCCTGCTATCCCAGCACTAGGAAGTAGGGCAGAAGGAGAAAGTGTGAGGCTAGCCTGAACTATAAAAAATAGCATTTAGCTAGACATGGCAAGAGAAGAGGTTTGAGTAGGTCTGGCTCAGGCAGCTGGGTAGCTAGTGTCACCTCAAACAGAAATGGGAGCCATCAGGGATCAGAGCAGATTTGCTGTAGGCAGCAAGCTTCCAACATTGGTGACACCTGGAGAGTCAGCCATCAGTCAGCAGTGAGGCCGAACTTAAAAATGTAGTGTGCCACAGGGCCTGCACAGGTGCCAGCCAGCCAGTGTCCCAGTGTCAAGATGAGAAGTGGACATGGGTTCCCAACCCTAACCAGAAGCTATCTGCAGTTGACAACGACTTGCAAAGGAAAAATTAGTCTTCTCCAGTGGAGTCTCCCTGGGGATATTAACCACAATTAGGGCAGACTGAGCCCAGCAGGAGAGGTCCTGTGCAAAGGGAATTCAACAGTATTTTTGTTGACCTTTGTCTCATATAGCTCCCTTTGGGCGCGATTTGTTTTATTGGACTTTACCTATCTGGGTTTCCCATTTTGTGGTTTTGTGGGTTTTTTGTTTGTTTTTTTTTTTTTTTTTGCTTATGCTTATTGTTTGTTTTTTTAAAGGGAAAGATGGGGCATAGAGTTGGGTGGGTAGAATCTGGGAGGGGTTGAAAGATGGGAAACTGTGATCAGAATATATTGTGTGGAAACAATTTTTCCAATTAAAAAAAAAGATACACAATGCAAATAATTGGGTGTAATGGGAAGGCTAAGAACTACAAGGAGAGTAAAGAGGGAAAGTCAAGACCTGAACACACCATGGCATGTTAGAACATGTAGAGAGAGACCTAGCTGGGGAAGAGCAGCTAGGGACAGAGGGGAGGATAGGAGAGAGGGGGAGAGGGGAGGAGGGAGAGGGGGAGAGGGAGGAGGGGGGAGAGAAAGGAAGGGAAAGGGGGAGAGGGAGGAGGGAGGGAGGAGGAAGGAGGAGAGGAGGGGGAAGGGGGGAGAGAGGGAGGGAGAGGATTGCTTGTAGAGAGAAAGGACTGAAGATGTGTGGACAGAGACCTGTAGAGTGAGGACCATAGGCCACCTCTGCCTTAGTGCTGAGTTCCCCGAGGGCAGCTTCTGCTAACAGATCTTCTGAAGCAAAGGTTAAGGTGCTGGTGCGCTGTGCTCTCTGTCGCTACACTTACATCAGAGTTCTTAGACTTTAGCTTGGATGATGGACAGATGAACTGGGTACCTAGACAGAAGAGAGGCAGGCAGGAGGGGGAGAGAATGCAGAGAAGCAGGGGGGACAGGGGCTTCTGTAGTCTCTAGCGATCCTTTTCCTGTTTCTCTTAGGTTCCACAGTCACTGCGGAGATCCAGGGAGTGATTGACGCCTGTGTTAAGCTGACTGGGATGCCAGACCTCACTCTGTCCTTCATGGTAGTGTTCCAGAGCCATTGTTAACCTTTTTGGCGTGGGAAATGAGGCGTTTGTGGAAAGAGTGGTGAGAGTGAGATGGCATAAACCGAGGAGCCTACACCAGGCTTGCATGTGCTCCGTGAAAGAAAATGTCATCTGACTTTCTTTTCAAAGGAAACCGCGAGCTTACCCCCACTTCTTGTTCTTCCCCGCCTGGTTCTGCAGAATCCCAGGTTGCTGGATGATGTTAGCTTCCATCCCTGTGTCCGATTCAAGCGCTGGGAATCTGAGCGCATCCTCTCCTTCATCCCTCCTGACGGCAACTTCCGCCTGCTCTCCTACCACGTCAGTGCACAGAAGTAAGCAGTGACCAGGAGAAGACTGGGTGTCCGTGGAAGCTTTTGTCTTGTAGTGATTAGCCCCGGGTTTTATTTACCTGGGTCCAGGTTCCAGGCGCAGACTGGGTGTCTGTGGAAGCTATGTCTGTAGTGATTAGCTTCCGGCTCCATCTACCTGGGTCCAGGTTCCAGGAGCAGACTCGGTATCCGTGGTACTTAATCTCCAGCTCCGTTTACCTGGGTTCAGGTTCCAGCTCCTCAGGTGGCTAAGTGTGTCAGTGCAATGAGTGGCTTTCCCACTCCATCTGCTTCTTTTCTGGGGACAGCGTGTCTTTCTGTGAGGACTGAGTGAACAGTGAGTGCCTTGCTCAGGGCAAGGGGGTCACTGAGGCTGCCGTTACTAGTTTCTGTGGCGGTATCTGCTGAGTCAGTCTTGCTCTTTTAGGCCAGCCTTAGCTGGCTTTGAACTCACAGTCCTCCTGCTGGGCTTACAGGTGTGGGCCACTAGCATAGCAGCTGTTTTATATTGTTGCTACCTTCAAAAGAACATTTCCTCAGAATGTTAGCATGCCAGTATCAATCCCTCAATGTCCAAAAGGCAGTTAACCATGCTTTGAAAGCGTGTCTGATGCAGTGAGTTTGGTCTTGCACGCTTCCTGTTTTGGGAGTTCTGGTTTGCTGTATAAGGTGTGTGGATGAGTGCCATTGGGATCCTGAGGACTCAGGGCCAGTGCCTCTTCCCTGGTGACTCAGGATCAGTCACTTTGGAAAGTGTTGCATGTCTGAATCTGATTGTCCCAATGGAAACCTCCCCTTTCCCTATTGATATAACCAGGCAAGTCATTCAACCTCAGAGAAGCGGGACATTTATATTCAGGTATTAATCAGTACCTAGACAGAACACAGAGCACAGATATTAGGAACCATTGCTTCTTTGAGCCCATTTTAATGTCCCACATTTTGACAACCTACCCTGTGTCTGGAGCTCTGTGCAGGTCGGGAGGAAGACAGATAAATGCACCCTAGGTTCAGTCCACAGTCCTGCTATATAAACAAGCTGTAAAAGGTTTGTGAGGTATGAGCAGCTATGTCCTATATCCAGGAACAGTGACCTTGTGTCCTAAACACAATCCAGAAATGTTGCAGGCCCTTGTCCTAAACACAGCCCAGATATGCTATAGTCCCATGTTCTTAACACAGTCCAGAAATGCTATAGCCTGTGTCCTAACACAGTCCAGAAATGCTATAGCCTGTGTCCTAACACAGTCCAGAAATGCTATAGCCTGTGTCCTAACACAGCCCTCTTGCTGCTGCCCCTGTTGCTTCTGAGTGATCTGGTGCATGGCCGTTTTCTTCATCGTTACCCAAAGAGGCATCAGAAGAAGAAATTCATTTTTTAGGCATCATCTTCATTTTTCAAAATCAAAACCAATATCACTATTTTCTGTATTTAAAGATAAGGAATTCATTTTAAGATAAATAATAGACGAGGAAAAGATGCTAGCAGGACAAGAGGAGGACCCTGGAAGGAGAAAATAGTGGCAGTTTTCTTTAGCTCCTTAGTGAAGTGGAAAATATTAAAAATGTAAAAAATAAAATAAACAAAAGAGGGGCCAGTGAGATGTCTTAGTGGGAAAACACATGCAGTGAAGGCTGACTGCTTTGAGTTCAATCCTTGGAGCCCACCAAAAGAGGGACCCAACCTCTCGAAATCGTCCTCTGAACTCCACATACATGAGCATAAACACACAGCACACATGTACACACACACACACACACACACACACACACACACCAATAATACATTTAAAAATTAAAATAATTTTAAATAAATGAGAATAGCTATAAAGAGAATAGTAAAGGGAGTGTTTTATTTTTAAAGATTTCTTTGTATACGTGTTTGCCTGCACATATGTATGTTCTCTGCCCAGTACCTAGTGCCTGTAGAGGCTAGTAGAGGGTGTCAGATCCCATAGAAGTGGAATTCTTATGAGCATCCATATGGGTGTTGGGAACCAAACCTGGGTCCTCTGTAAGAGAGTAGCAGGACAGTTTTAACTGTTACTCTAGTCCTCAAAGATTGTTTTCTTTTTTCCCTATTTCTTTAGATTTATTAATTTTTTTATCTAATGTGTATGAGTGTTTCACTTACGTGTATGTATGTACATCACATGAGTGCCTGGTGCCTGCAGAGGTCAGAAGACAGTGTCTGATACACTGGAATTGAAGTTATGGACAGTTGTGAGCTGTCACAAGGGTGTTAGGAACCAAACCTGAGTCCTTTGCAAGAGCAGCCAGTTCTCCTAATCCCTAAGCTATCTCTCCAGCCCCTGGTGTTTTCTCTCTGAAGAGGGTGTTTTGTCTCTCTTGCAGCCTAGTTGCCATTCCAGTCTATGTCAAACATAGCATCAACTTCCGGGACAGTAGTTCACTTGGACGCTTTGAAATCACAGTGGGACCCAAGCAGACTATGGGGAAGACAATAGAGGGTGTGATTGTCACCAGCCAGATGCCCAAAGGAGTCCTGAATATGAGCCTCACTCCATCCCAGGGGACACACACGTTTGACCCTGTAACAAAGGTAGGGGACCCTCAACAAAGGCTATATCCTTGGTTGGAAGGCAAGACTAATCAAAGGGACTTGGTTCTAAAGACCTTTGATAGAGCATTCTGTAATTCTCCCCTCATCAGGGGTGGCTTATACTATGGAAGGCAGATGCCTGAGGTTGGAGCTCTGAGTTCAGATGAAAACACCAGTGTGAATGTGTGGAAAAATCTACCTCTCTTATGTTTTCTCCCAAGATGCTGTCTTGGGATGTAGGAAAAATAAACCCACAAAAGCTACCAAGTTTGAAGGGGACAATGAGTCTTCAGGTTGGAGCTTCTAAACCAGATGAGAACCCCACAATTAACCTACAGTTTAAGATCCAACAGCTGGCCATTTCTGGTGAGTGACACATCTTGGGTGGTTTTTAAAGGAGTGGAGATGGCTCTCTTTGCCAGGGTCAGACCTCAAATGTCTTCTGGGGCTCTCTGACAATGGGTCACACTAGGTCTGGTTCTGTTACCCAGTATGGAATCATCAGTGAGATCTTTCCCAGTTCAGACCACTTAGAAGCTAGCATGAAGACCCTGAGTCAAAATGTCTGGGACCCAATGAGAAGTGAAGTGTGCTGGCAGAGGTCTTCCTAGGCCATTGTTGGATCATGCTACAGTTGTTGCTTTGAGCAGTCCAAGGTTTTCAGTATGAGAATATTTCTACAATTTTTATCAGGAATGGGAAAAAATAAGCCCACAATCCTGTCAGCTTCAGGAGGCCTTGCTTTTACTCGTACTGTCTTTAGACATTGCCAGTCTTGACCAGTTTGACCACACTTTAGAACTTAATAATAGATACTATTTTCTGGGTATTTGTTATCTTCCATCTATCCCTAAGCATTTTTTATTCTTGTTTGACTTTTAGAACGGCCTTTTGAAAGCCTGAGAAAGAAATGGACTTTACTTTTAGAGAACATTCTTGGGTTTCTTTACTAAAAGACCTGTAACTTAGGTGATTAAAGTTAAGTGATACCTTCTTTCTCCTAAACCACTTAATAGGCCATAAAACTATTGACAAAATAATTCCTGTTCAGTTTGGCAGAACTATTTAGGATGCCTTCATTGATCAGTTCATTTCCTTTCATTATTCATTAATGCTCTTATCATTCATTCAGTCCAATAACTTGAATGAACACGGTGTTATTTTGTCCTCATCCTCATTGCAATCTGCTTGACTCTGTCCTTCCCACTGAGAGGAGGTCTTCTCCCAGGAGGCTGTTTGCTGACATAATCTCTGCTGCAAATGCATGTCCCGAGATGACAGGGCTGTCTGCCTCTGCTTCACAGAATGGGCTCCTTAGATAATCTCTTCCACATAGCCTCTCCTGTATTGACACAAACCCAGACAGCTGTCTGCTGCTGCTTCTGAGAGATGCTCGCACCTTACTCCTCTCTTCCTTCTTCCCTCTAGGACTCAAAGTGAACCGTCTGGATATGTATGGAGAGAAGTACAAGCCTTTTAAAGGCATAAAATACATGACCAAAGCTGGCAAGTTCCAAGTTCGAACCTGAAGGGCACATGTTACTGGAGGAACAATCACAAAAACTTTTTTCATTTCTTACTTGTCCTAAAGTAAAATGTCAGCCTGTTTCTTAGGTCAATTCCCTCCAGGGTCCATCTGATCCCTTTTGTCTTCAGTCTTCAGTGCCATGTAACTGATAGAGGGAGAAAAGGTTTATCAGGAAAAGGTGGCCAAACCCAGTATGGTAGTGATTGAATTCTAGAGAAGTGTATGGTGGAGAGCAATGATAACATGATAATATATTTCACTACTTTTAACATGGTTGCCACATAAGGGGGGAAAAAAGACCAGCATTTGCTATCTGTTTGGTTTTAATTATCTAAACCCAATTGAAGATGTCTCTATTGAATTTTTTTAGAGATAGAAAGACCAAAAAAAAAAAAAAAAAAATAGGAAAGAAAAATAAGTGTCAGTCCACGAAAGGCCAGTTGCTGATTTAATGTGTGGGTCTAGGTTGTGACCCAGTGGTGGTGTAGGTTTTATGCAAACTCTGGCTCATTCCTAACACCGCTGGCAATGCAAAACAGATCTGCTCTATGAGTGACACGGCAGAGAAGCTGGTATGAAGAGAGTTGTGACGAGAGATGCTACAGTGAAGGATTGGCTGGGAAAGTGAGCAGCATGCGTTTCCACAGGGGCTACGAGGAGCAGAGTGGAGTGGTTTCTTTCTGATCCTTCTCATGGATAGAAAGGATTTGCATGTCCAGGACATTCAAAGCTCAAGATCAACCTTGATGTGAAACTGCAATGGAATCAGTTCCCCTTGGAGACTAGAGTGCTGTGTCCTGGCTTTTAGATTCTCACTTGGGCTTGCAATTTGTGTTGGCCCACCATCTTGGTGGGAAGGTGATCTGCCAGAGCAGGCTACAGTCTTTTGCTGGTTATCTAACTCCTCGGTGGGAGCTCCCCCAAAACAGTTTTTGGTGCAGCAAGATTTTATGAATTATAGTAGTGGAGTTGAAATGGGAACTCATGTCCCACAGAAGTGGACCATGCCTATACACAGTGACCTCCATTATTGTTTGTCAGGCTTCACTGGCCCTAAGCCTTGTACTTCCTGTCAGAAGGTTCCCAACAGAAGCCCCGAGTGGGCACAGGCACACTGAGGACATGAGTAACTGACGCTCATACCCACTGTCTGTACACTGTCGTCTACCTATTGACAACAGACAACTCCCTGACCACTTTTAAGATAAAAAGAAGGTGTCTTGAACCTTTGAATAAAATCAAATGCCATAGGAGGGCAGGCTGTATTATCTCGAGAAACCCACCAGTTTAAACCATGGCAGCTGAAGGAGCTTGACTTTCCTAAAGAGTATTTCTTAATCTGTTTCAGTGTGTCAATTACTCTTTAATTATCTACATAGATGGTGGGGTTTGTTGTTTCTAACTTACAGCCTATGGAGCATGTTGTTCTCTGTGTTGTGCGTGGAGGGAAGGAAAACCTGTTCGCACAAGTCTCCCTTAAAGTCCTATCTGTAAGTACTTATGATTTATTTATTTTTGATTTTTATTTTCTGGCTAGTTTTCTCTTACTGTGGCCAGTACTTATTTTTACTGCCGAGTGGAGTTTCCTTGTGGGGTGAACCGTGCCGTGTCCAATCAGCTGATTCTTTACCCCTCCACTCCAGAGTCGGGACTAGTGTAGCTCCGCACACCCAGCGTGGACGGAGACACCCTGCAGATGGATTTCAGGACATGAGGTCACTTCCACAGGCTCTGCAGGACTTCAAGGTTTCTTGGGTCACAGGAAAATATTTATATTGGTCTTTTAATATGTTTAGGTTCATAAGCGCGGTTCCTTTATTCCGTCTAGCACAGTACAGCTTGTCTACCTAGAAAGAGGCAGTGTTGGAGTATGGGACCTGCAGCTTAGATATTGTGGGTGTGGCCAGGTCTGACTGTCCCCACCCAGTGACTGTCAGTTAGTAGGGGGAGTAGTGCAGGGTGTCTCAGTACCTCCTCACTCTCCTGTGGTCCATGTGCGGAAGTAGCATTTCTGTTTAAGTCTTAATAAAGCTTTACCAGCCCTCCCGTCTCTATCTGGTTATTGATTCTAACAGCTCTCCTCTATGTTTCCCTAAGTAGAAGGTGCTTACTTGTGACATCTAAAGACAAATATAGAGTGTGATTCTCCATCTATTCACCCCTGGGAGACAGGTCATTGTAGGCGGATTTTCCTGTCCCGACCATCTGATCCCAAATAACCAGGGTCTTGATATTAATTATAAATGCTCAGCCAATAGCTCAGGCTTTGTTACTAGCTAATTCTTACACTTTAAATTAACCCATATCCCTTATCTACCCTCAGCCATATGGTTTATGACTTGTTACCTCATTTTCTACATGCCCTGCTTCTGTGTCTGCTGCTGTGTCTTTGGCTCTGCCCTCCGTCTTCCCAGCCTACTCTGTCTGGCTATCTTGCCTATACTTCCTGTCTAACTACCAGCCAGTCAGCTTTTTATTAGACCAATTCAAGTGACAAGTCTTCACAGGATTATTCCAGCAGGTCATGCTGGTACTGGTGCTATTTGCAAGGTTGGTGACATCTGAGGTCCAGAGGGATCTAATAATTTTCCTGGTGCTTTCCATATTCTCACTGCAGGAAGCAGGGCTGCAAGGTCACAGGTGTCTCTTGTAGATGTTTCTGGGGGAGGTAGGCATCAGGGGTGCCTTAGTTACTTTTTTGTTGTTGTGACAAAACACCATGACCAAGGCACCTTATAAGAGAAAGCGCTTCATTGGGCTTATGGTTTTAGAGGGTTAGAGTCCATGACAGCCAAGCAAAGGTAAGGTGGTAGGAACAGTTGAGAGCTCACGTCTTGATCCACAAGCAGGAGGCAGGCAGAGAGCACAGTGGAAATGGTGTGGGCTTTTGAAATCTGAAAGCCCACTGCCAGTGATGCACCTCCTTCAATGGAAATCCTTTCCGTGCAATTCCACCAGCTGGGCCCCAAACAGAGGAGCCTATGGGGAGCGAGTCTCATTCAAACCACCTTATGGGTCTATTGCTTCCAGCCAACGTCAACATGTAGGCACATTTCTAAACTGATTTTCTACAGATTTCTGTTGACTCCCTGGAAGTGTATGGTGCTTGTTAAGAGTTCAGTTTCTGTTTCTCTGAGACATTAAGCTTACATATGTATGGCTGTATTTGTGGAAGGGGGTGGGAGTTATATAAGCCACAGCCTGTATGTGGGAATCAAAGGAGAGACTGTGGAAATCGGTTCTCTCCTTCCATTGTGTGAGTCCAGAGGACTAAACTTGAGTCATTGGGCTTGGTTGTAAGACCTTTGCTCATGGAACCAGTTTGTTCTCCTTCTTTGATATTCTCTAGTATGGTACCCTTCCCACTGTCCAAGCAACTACATTATGAAAATACAAAATGGAAAATTCCAAGAAAGGGTAATGTCCAAGTTATGTACCATCCTGAGTAGCCTGATGATGCCTTTAAGTGACCTCCATCCCACCCCACCGTGTCAGACGCTGTCTTTCCCTGGACCGTGCATTTCCTGTTGTCTACACTGCTTACTGGTCACTAAGGGCTTGTCTTCACTCTTAATCAGCTCTCATAATACTCTTTGTGTTCTAGGGACCCTCACTCACAAAGTAAGAGTGCCAGGGGCTGCGGATAAGTCAAAGAAAAGACAAGAAAGTTGAAAAAGGATGATGCTTCTCCATGAGAAATTTAAAGTTCCCAGTAAGAAAAACAATCGTATATGAAGTTTGCTGAGCTCTCAGCAAGAACAATATTTCTAACTGAAATTTTAAGCAGGAAAAATATATACAATTTGACTCTGACACTGCAGTGCCTTTGAAGTGAATGGCAAAGGTATCAGTGTCATTGGGGGAGATATGAAGAAAACAGCATTCTGATTGCTGCTGTCCCTCCATGCTGAGCAGAGCTGAGTCAGCAAGGAGACTTAGGAGTGCCTGGAACAAGAGACACCTGTCGAGTCTAGCTGGTTCTACTCTGCTGTTAGTCATCACTAATGCCTTACTGTAACTGGTCGTAGGATACAAGTTAGAAGAGACAGACTTAGTAGGGGTAGGTGCTGTCTGTCTCCAGATACCCACTGGGATCTTGGAACATATTCCCTCCAGATCAGGGCTGACTGTTGTATTCTTCCTTCAGTCTGGATGGTTGAAGGGCATTGAGAGCAGGAAATGTTATCTACTTATATTTCCTCCTGTGCCAGTAGGTGGTGACTAGGTGCCATCAATACTGTTTCTAATTGTTAATGACTTTTAAAAAGGAATTTAAGGAGAAACCCAAGCAGGTCTTAAATATTAAGGATTGTGCATTCAGCTTTTGTATATGGAGTTGGAAGTCTCTAACACTTTGTGATATACAGGGCTGGGCTGGTGGTGGAAAGGGCAGGACCAGGACTCTGCACTCCTCTGCTCTTTAACAACCAAAACCAACTCATACAGTCACCTGGGACCATACTTGCTCTTTGGTTCTCTTGGCCTCTTTTTATTAAACAGCCAGGAGTAATGGGGCAACATTTACTTTCCCTTTGACTCATTCCCTTCCTCTGTTGAATTCCAGACATCACATCCGTCATTTCTTAACCAATACTGGGCAGGGAGGGTTGTGCTACTCTGACCCTTCGGTGTGATTCATATGACTGTCTTGTTGGACGCTGCTCTGTAAGAGTCAGCAATTGTCTTCATTTGTGTATGGTTTCCAGGACTCCATTCAGGAATGTTGGGGCCTTTTGACTTCGTATTCCCATCCCAGGAGGCTTTTCGGCTTTGGTCTCGACTCACTAACCCTAGTGTCTGAAGAAAATCTTGCCCTATGGGGGAGGGGTGAAGCCAAGTGCGATGATGGGCAGGCCTGGGAGCCTCAAGCTGCGTTTTAGGGAATGGGATGAGATGTATTCCTGCCCAAAATCTTAGATCAAAATCTGAAGGCAGATTCATGTGAAGTCAAGAAATCTGTGACTTAAGTCTCTGATTCAAACTGATGCTACTGGTCTGGGGACTTCAGAGATTTCTAGAAACTGCCCAACACCTCCCATATTAAGTTCTTGGGCTCCAGTGAATGTCTTTTGTGAGTTTAAACTACTTTTCTTCTAAGAGCCTCCAACAGGGCAGTGCTGAGAAACCCTCAAGAGATAAGAAAGGCCAATATTCAAACAAACAAACAAAAAATTTATCCAGCCACACCCAAGAGCAAGCATTACATCATGAGATAGATTCTTGGAATTAAGATGTAGTGAAGAAATCTGGAGACAATGGAGAGAGGTTGTGTTCTATGATTGGCAAGATAGTGCACAAGGGCCAGCAAGAGGTCAGCTGCAAAAAGTGCCCACTACACAGGCCTAAAACTTGATCCTCCAACCTGTGGCAGAAGGGGAGAAATTACTTCTGAAAGTTGCCCCTGACCTTTACGCCTGCGCTGTATGTGAACACAGCCTCAGACCCACATCACACACATTAAAGGAGTTACTAGAGCAGTAGGACACAAGCAGCATGCTGTGTGCACTGGTCTGTGAGCTAGTTGTTTCTGAGGAGCCGAAAACAAAACAGAATGAGGAAGGGAAAAAGCAATCCAGATAGTATCATTTAGTATGAGTCAACAGATGAGGCATTGCTATGTTAGTAAGAGATGGTTTGGGGTTTTTCTTCCCTATGTTGCTGTAGTTACTATCCATAGAGTCATGCGACAGTCTGCTCAGTCTGTGGTCATTAAGTGATCGATTTTCCAGATGCATCTTCATTTATCACCTCTTGGAGCAAAGCACTCATTTTGGCCTCCAGAGTCCTTAGCATCTGATCTTCAATCTTGATCAAGTTCAGGTGAGGTTGGGGACAGAGCTAGCTCAGTGGTAGAGTACTGCTTTAGCACACCCAAAGTCCTAAATTCAATCCCCAGTCCTGTTTTTGCAGGTGCCTGCCACCAAGTTGGATAACCTGAGTCTAATCCCCAGGATCCATGTGGTAGAAGCAAAGAACCAACTCCTGTGGGCATCCTATGACCTTCACATGTGCACCAGGGTGCTTGTACAACTGCCCTCCCTTGCAATAAAATCTGTCACTCATTCCCTGTACTCTACTGCCTCTTAGGCCATCAAGTCTTTGTTGTTGCAATGGGGAAATTCTGGGTCTCAAATCTTGCCTGACTGCAACTGTGCCCTAACCCCATCTTACCTATTATTTGAACCTTTCTGAATCCTACTCTTCTTGATGGTTCCCTCCCATTCTCACAGCTGAGGTCCAGTGATGTCTCTGCTGTGCTCAATTCTATTTTATCCTTGTGAATGCCTCCTGTCCTGCCAGCTCTCCCCACTCCATTTCTACTGTTGGTGGCACCCAGCATATTGCCTTGGGGTTAAGCAGGATTTCCACACATTGACTGAATGAAAGGAAGTCTTTCAACTGACTCAAAAAACAAGAATGTGAATACTAATAAGTCATAGATACATACCATTTGAAAAGTGTGAAAAATACCTCTGGATTTATTATTTAAGTACAGTATAATACAGAGTTATGGTAACAAAGCAAAAACTAAAATAGATTAATATATAAATATGCTAATGCTACTTCATCAATTATTAAAATTCACATAGTTCTCCCAACCATCTATAAAGTCTATAAAGAAAAAAAGATTTACACTGTATACAAATGAATACTCCCAAGAGTTGAGGAGTAGGAAGGGGGTGGAGAATATTTGATTTCAAGGGTCTTATGGGGCTGTGATCTAGACAGCCAACACTTAGAGGCCCCTCTTGTAACTATAAATGTGCATTCTTGTCCCTAATGCAAACTTTCTCTCCTGAAAGATCAAGCCATTTTACTGTTGAGGCATGATCTTATGTCTTGTGGTCCAGTGTACAAAGTGATAGACCAGGAGGGTGGACTTTGATCTACCCTTCTCTTTTATACCCTAGAGTTATGGGAGGGCTGGCATTTTCCCATCTTCTCATCAAGCAGATTTTATCCTAAAATCTTCATCCCTGAAAACCTGCAAATTGTGAAGTACCTGTCACAGATAAATGCTATGTCCTCTACTACAGACCCTCCATCCCTCTGCCAAGTGGCAGTATATAAAGATATTGTAAAGGACACTTGGCCTTTTGGGTGTGCCTTCTATAGAGGAAGAAGGCAGGCCTTCCTCTGAATCCAAGGAGCTGGGCTGTCTTGGTCATTGCTTCATGTTGTCTTGAATCCAGTCTAGGTAATTGGTAACTTTAGTATATATCCCAGGGACATCCTTCTGCCCACAGCCAATGCCCCAGCTGATGATGCCAACCAAGGTCATGTGTTTATTGACCATACACACCAGTGGTCCTCCTGAATCACCCTGTGGAAGAGCATAGATAAGGTGTTTGTACATATGGCAGAATATTTGGAAGAAAGTTTGAACTACTATTTATAGTGTGATGATCATAACCCTCAAAGAACTTATTTCAGGGAGGGAGACTTGAGGCTATAGATTAGAGTGTATCTAAATTCTGGTAAGCAGCATTAAGAGCTTGGCATGGTGGCACATGCCTTTAATCACAGCATTCAAAAGGCAGAGGGAGGTGGATTTCTGAGTTCAAGGCCAGCCTGGTCTACAAATAGGGTTCCATGCCACTCAGGACCACACAGTGAATGAGACTCTGCCTCAAAATAAATAAATTAATATCCACTAAAAAAACAAAAAAACACAGACCTAAGATAATTGTTCAAGAGCTGGGGTATGGTTCAGCAGCAGAGCAGTTAAAAGTCCAAGAGCTCCATTCTTAGCACCCAGGAAACAAAAACAAAAACTTCTTAAGCTTTATAAAAGCTGATTTGAGTGGGTAGAATGGTGGTGCACGCCTTTAACACCAACACTTAGGAGGGAGAGACAGGTAGCTCTCTGTGAATTTGAGGCCAGCCTCAGTGAACTATGGTTCGATGTTTTTAATCAGGTGGTTACCATCTGAGTTTTAATGTCATTGGTTGCTCTGTTCTGCTAGTATTGGGGTCTTAATGTCAGCTGTTGCTCCGTTCTTGCCTCCTAGTTCGTTAGTAGTCAGGAAATGTGAATTCCAAGTCCAGTGAGGACTCAGAACCTAAAATGCTTTGCTTCCCTGGCTGAAGCTGAACTTTGAGAACTTTTTCTCACCTCCTATTTTTATCTTGCATCCCAGGGGGATGCCTTTCCTTGTCCTACAAAGCAGGCCCAAATTCCCCAACACCTTCATAAGTCAAAGATTTAGTTATATTCTTTGACCTCTCATTTCAATGGGGCTTACAGGGAAATCCTGTGCTAGGTGGAGCTTCCTGTCCACAAACCCGAAAAATGCCCTGATGTTTAGATTTCTTAAGTTTCAGGAGCTCTGACCTTTCTCTATCATTTTTTTCTTTGAAGCTCCACTTTCAAATCCCAGTGTCACACCCACTACCATAGCCCTCACGTCCTGTGCCTGTGGGACATCCATCACTTTTACCTGGCATGCGTCATGGATATCTTGGTTGCCTCCACTACGGGTGTCACCTGCACACAACATATTGTTTGTGATGGTTTTATTAAACAAATGCTGTGTGGTACAGCGGCTTGATGGGTACAGCCTAACATGGGCTTCCTTTAGCCGATCAGAGAAGAAGGGAGATGCTGAAAGAGAAGGTGCAGATGGGTTAGGGTCTAAACATGACTTACAAGTCTTTTGGAAAGAGAAAGCTGAATGTTCCAGTAACAGTGAACCCAAAGCAGGTTGTCTCTTTGGACATGACCTACATTTCACTGTTTTGACCTCCAGCAGTTCTCTAGAGTGAGGTGACATTTCTCAGTAGCATCACTGTCAGTTGGGCTAGATAGTTATCTGTCATGAAGAGTGTCCTGTATTGCACAGAGTTTTGGCAGGCTCTCCCTCCTAATCAAAGGCCAGGATCAGCCTTCAGCTAGACGTGTGACACCTTGGCCACAATGATTCCAGACACGGCCAGTTGTGGCCTGGGTGGTGAAATCACACCAAGTGAGAAGAAACATCGATTTAATCAGGAATTCTATCACTTATTTCTTATAATTTTTTATGTTGGCAGAGAGGAAACAGAGGCTTCAGTAATTAAAAACAAATTAAAAAGTGTTTAAGCTCAATCTAATGCTCCACACCTATAATCCTGGGACACTGGGACTGCACTTTGGAAACCACTGTAGGAAACACCACGAGAACCCTTTCCTAAAACAACACAAATACACATCTGGCTTGGAAAACCATTCTCTCAAAGGCCAGCGTGTTGAAAGCTAGACCTGCGGTGCTCTTTGGAGATGGTAGAACTTTTAGAAAGCGGCTCTGGGAGAAGGAAATTACAGTTTGGCAGCGATATTGAGGCCCAGACTCTCCCTTTCCTCCTTTTGCTTGCATGGTACTCTGAGGTACACATTGTCACTGCTGAAGGTGCCTCCTATGGCATATTACTTTGCCACAGGCCCACAGACTGGGCCAACTGACTGTGGTCTGAAACTTCCAAAGCCATGAGCACAAACAAAGCTTTCCTATCTTCAGGTTAATTTATCTCATGTTCATTGACATCATTACAAAGCTGAATGACCCAACTAGGGCCCCACAGCTAAGTCAGATGCAAGTTTGGGATACAAACTTACACCCTCCTTCTCTGTCTCCTCTACACTATAAAGCTCTTCAGAGCATTTTCATGTCCCAACTTTCTGTGACCCATACACAGAGTCCCCGTAACACAAGGAAGCAAATAGCATCTCATCATACAGACAGGCAGTTTCCCCTGCATTTTTCTGTGTCATGCGACAATTGGGACCAGAACATTATGCGACCACTTCCCCTCCATCTGCTTTGACTACCACATGATAGATAAGGATGGGACCAAGACTTCCTTCCACTTACATTCTTCATGCTTGCCATAGCCGGACAGCTCACACTCTGTCCAGTCAGGAAGCTGCAGGTTAGGGTCAGGAAGGCAGACAGTGTTGACAGAGTTGCTCTCCTGGGCACACTGTTTGGTATCTGACCTCAGCTGCAGTAATGCTGGGAGCAAGAGAAGGGAGAGGAGTGACTCAGTGAGGGGAGGGACCAGGGTGAGAAAGAAAGCTGTACGAATATAATGGTCTTTTACCAATATCATTGTCGTAAGTGTCGTCATCAAATTCATCATGGACTATATATTTTTCAATCTCAAATGTCTGCTCCTCCTCTCCAGGGACCACCCTGTATGTTCTGCCCAAGACCACTTTAAGATGCTGGGGAGGAAACCTGGCAGGAAAACAGCATGAAGACATTTTTGCACTTTAAAAAAAAAAAATCAATGTTGGTTTTGCCTTGGGCAAAACCCGTGGGCTGGCTCCAAAGCCTCAGAGAATGGGCAGTCCATACCTCTCCACAAAGCAGTGGGCGGCAGATAGCACCCAGCAGGGGCTGATCAGCACCCCTCCACACAGGAATCTCTCTCCAGGAGACCTCCTGTACTTGACGAAGATGGCAGCCTGCCAAGGGTGCGAGGTGATGTCTGTGAAAAGTCCTCCTTTAATTCGAAACTGAGGCTGTTTGTATTGCCTCAGGCCACAGGTGGCTGGGGAGGAAAGGACAGAGAAGGGGTGGGTCAGACCTGTAGTATGGGGACAGGGCTGAGACAATCCCAACATGCCTTTTCCTGTCAGAACCTTGATTGTTGCAGGCTACTGCCCTTCAGTGTGCTGATACAGAATGATTTAACTGTGTCAATGATGGTGAAAACTACAACTTTCCTTTCTTGAGTACAGTGATATGCCAAATATTATATATGTGTATCTTTATCCTTCCCAATACTAACTTGCAGGAAGACAGGGAAACCTCTACGAAAGGTCACAGTGACACTGGGATTAGAACCCAAGTCTGTCTGACTCCGAGAGCAGGGATCTTTCTTCTGTGCATGGCTCCTTCCAGTCTTGCCTACAGGGATGTCTTGTGTTTAAGATATCATGTAGTCTTGCAGACTTCCTTCTTTCCATCTACTCAGCCTGATCCAAGACCAAGTCAATTCCTACCACATTACAAGGTTCTCATTAACACCATAGCCTCTGAGGCCCTTGTGGACTTCAGATAGAACCCATCACAAATGACCTTGGCTGGGACCTCAGTTTATGTCTTACTTTCTAATTAGAGTCTGTTCTTGGAGGAACACTCTGGCTTATCTGTGTGTTCCTGGGGACTGAGTAGTAATCTATTCTTGGGCAATTTCCAAAATAAACTTTCACGGTGGGGACATGTGCCAACTTGAGTTTTCTGTCTCTTGCCCTCTATTATCCACTCAGTTCCCCTGTGTTAAAAGGGCTCCATGGGGATTTGGAAGTGCACAGAACTTGGTGGGTCACATGATTTCTGAGGGCATTTTCAAATAATTGGACACTGAAGCCTCTCTGTCACCAGGCTACTGGAGAAATGTAACAACTGTTATCTAAGAAGCCACAGTGCAAGACCCTGTTCTCTTCATTACGACCAGGACCATCACCACTTTCCACAGAGATAACCAGGGAGAAAAGTTGGAGCCTATTGCATTTGAAGAGAAATTGAAGCACTGGTCTTCCTTTCTGTCCCTCCCTAACACCCCCACAGATCTGGACAAGTATGAATGTTACCATCTAGACAAATGAAAACCTGCCCTTGCCCCTTGGGGACCTGGCACACAAGGTAGGCAATACCCCAGCTCTGTATGCAGGTGCAAAGGTCCCTTTAAGAGGCAAGGTCTGCCCACTTTTGCCTTCTTTCTACCATTCCTCTGAAGATGCAGCCCTATCTGTCTGTCTCTTTCTCTCTCTTTCTCCATTCTCTCTTCCTTTCCCTTACTCCCTTACTTTCCCCCAATAAACTTTCCACATAAGTTATGTCTGCAGGTCTCTGTCTCTCACCTACCATGGGGCCTTCCAAGGTCCCACCTTGCACTGGATCACAATGACTGTCTACCATAGTTTCAGTCATGAAAGCCCCCTGCCCCAAAAGCCCAGAGTTCCTGGAGGTCCAGAAGTTACAGAAGCCAAGACAGTGGTGAAAACATAGGATACGACAGAGAAAGTAGTGAAGAGATGAGCCCGGAGAAAAGGGGGAGGTGGCAAAGTGACTCTTACAGCACTGGGACACATCACAGTACTCCCATGTCAGCTTTCTGTCCTTCATCACATGGCACCAGGGCTTGGCATCCCCATCTGGATTCCTGCAAAGTAAGAGTTTGAGAGTTTCAGTGACAAACGCATCTCAAGAGTAGAAGGCGATTAGGTAGACCCATGGCAGAACCAAGAAGCTAGGAGCAGGGGTCCCAAACTCCGCTTGACTCTAGCAGGCCCCACATGAGGGAAGAGCTGCCCAGAGGAGAGATTTTTATAATTCAGTATGATGGCAGTGCAAAGAATAGGGTTTTTTGCTTTGTTTTTGTCAAATCTATTTGTTTTAGGATGGGGAGATGGCTCATTTGGTAAAGTGCCTGATGCATTAGCATGAGAACCTGAGTCTGAATTCTAAGCTCACATAAAAAGCCAGCAGTTCTGGGTGTGATGGAGCACACCTTTCATTCTAGCACCTAGGAAACATAGGCAGGCAAGTCTCTGCCTTCATGGTAAGTTCCAGGCTAGCCTTGTCTACATAGTGAGTTCCAGGCATTCCAGGGCTACATATGAGACCTTGTTTGAAAAAAAAAAAAAAGCCAGGCATGGCAACCTGCTCCTGTAATCCCAGTAAGGGAAGGGGGTTGGATGGAAGGGGTCTTGGTGGCAGAGAGGAGGTCTCTGAAGCTCATGGGTCAACCTACTCTAACGGACTAGCTTCAGGTTCAGTAAAAGACTCTGTCTCAAAAAATAAAGGTAGAGATTAATGAGAAAAAAGACACCCGATGTCAATTTCAGGCTACACACACACACACACACACAGAGAGAGACATACATTCACACAGAGACAAACACACAGACACATACTTACACACACAGACACACACACACACACACACAGACACTCACCTATGTATGTATACATGGACCTTCATGCATGTGCATTCACCCACAATAACAAGTACACACATACTCCACTCCGTGCCCACCCAAAATAACAAAACTGATGTATCTTGTTTCTCAAAGATAAGTCTAGCACTGGAGAGCTGGCTTAGCAGTTAAGAGCATTGGTAGTTCTTCCAGAGGTCCTGAGTTCAATTCCCAGCAACCACATGGTGGCTCACCATTGTCTCTAATGGGATCTGATGCCCTCTTCTGGCAAGTAAGTATACTTTCACATAGAGCACCATACACATAAAATAAACCTTTAAAAATTAAAAAAAGGGATATATATATATATATATATATATATATATATATAATATAATAAGTCTAATGGTAGAAAACTAACAGGTTTGGCTAGATCATGTCCATTATCTTTTATGTAATGCTTAACACTGAATCTTCTCCCACCAGATAACCCAGGTCTCTCCTTGGAGCTGACTCCCTTAGATCATGGCTACATACCGGCAATAATTATGTCTTCCCAGACCAAGTGCCTGCGAGTTGGTCCTCCATGCTGTGTAACTCTTGCCTATCAGGAGTATGGAATTCCATGGGAGGCAGGAGGCCCTAGATGTGGTGAGGCTGTGGGTGCCACGATAGGTTAACCCTTTTCCAACGTAACAGTCCTCACTTTTTCCTGGAACAAAACATATCTCAAGTTAAAGCCAAAGTGGTTAAACATTGATGTAGCGAGTAGGGGAGGTTCAGCAGGAAAGGGTGAGTCCTATCAGTGGTGACAGTGCTGGGGATGCTGTGAAGGGATTGGAGGGGTCACCGTGATAGTCCACGGTGAGGGCTGCTGCAGTGGGGACCATGCTGGCAGCCCTGATTTCTCAGCTTTGCTCCGCCAATCTTGCCCACTTCGGTCTATTTGCCCCATCCTGCCCTTGTTCCTCCCTGTGTGAAACTGACCAAGTTTGCCTCTCTACTTCACTATAGTTGAAGGGTACCTGTAGAGTTATCTTGATCCTTGAACCCTGATGTTGACCAGATGAGGAAGGGATCAACAAGACCAACCATTTGTGGTGCAAGAAACCTAGCCAGCTACCCAGGGCTATTGAAGTCATAAATCTTGAAGGAAAACCTATAACCACCACTTTACTAAACCAGCATAACCCATAAGTACATTCTAAATATGTGTCCTTATACCCAGAGGTAAGTGTAGTCCTGACACCTCATCAACGGAACTTCTCTTCGGAACAGATGGAGAGGTTGTTATAGAAAGAAAACTGCAACCAATCAAAATGATGAGTTGTGGAGGCCAAATCCCAATGGATACAAATACTGCATCTAAGACCTAAGAATCATTTTGGAAGAGGGGGTGGAAAGACTGTGTGAGAGCCAGAGGGTCTAGGAGTTTACTATGAGAATGCATCTCCTAGGAAAGTCTCACCACCATGACTGCATAAACATGAGCTGAACAAGGGCAGCAACAATAGACCTGACAAGCAGATGGGAATAAGTCTGTAAGGCCTCAGCCCTGCACAGAGAGCCACAGGCAATTAAGCATGCTGAGAATGGGCAATATAGTCTTCCCCACACCAATTGGTTATCAGTACCAAATAGCCCTGGAAACAAACATATAAGTAACTAATGTTAGGAATGTGTGTGTGTGTGTGTGTGTGTGTTTGTGTATGAACTGTATATAGGAATATATATTGCATGTAACAATTAATGACAAAATAGGTTATTAATTTTAAAAAGAGTAACAAAGTGTACATGGGAGGGTTTGGAGACAGGAAAGTGATAGGGAAAATGATATAATTATAATCTCAAAATAAGAAAGAATTTTTAAAATCCAAAAGGACTAGAAACCATGGGTCAGCTCCATTCTATGCTTTGTGGTTGAGGGTGTTGGCAGGAGGTAGGGAGGTAGGGTCCAAGGCTAATCAAACCCTAGGAGACCAGATGAACCAGGGTACAGCCTTCAGATGAGCTTCACTTAGCAGCTACATGGCTAGCTCCTATCCTGCTCCTTTCCTTTTGGGCACGGAAGACTGTTAGATTTACAATCCCAGATGGTCCTGCCTTGGGGACACTGCATGGGAAGGTGCAGAGTAGATGTCACTTACCCTTAGGACAAGCTGGCGTGCTGCAGAACTCTGAGGTATACATCCCTGCCTTAAAGACATAGCACCAGGGCTTTGAGTCTCGGTCCGGGTTTCTGAAAAATTGGCCAGGGAGGACCAGTGAGGGTTGAACAGAAATCTTCCCATCTTAGCCTAAGGACTAGGCATGCTGTCGGGGGCAGGGTTAGTGTATCTTGGGCTGAACACTGTCAAGTTTTACCATGTTAGGCAGAAATATGACTCCAGTGTGCTCTTTATTGGGGGATTAAGCACATTATAAGGAAATGTGTAAGGGAGCCAAGTTGACAAGGATGTACAATAACCACCCATGTGTCAACACAACTGACCTATAGTCTCAGGCACGTAATTAAACAGTGATCCAAGCACTGCTTTAAAGCTGTTTTGTAGCTGTGGCTAACATCCACAATCAGTTGAGTTTAAATTATCCCAGACAAGGAGCATGCACTTTGTCTGGTTGTCTAGTTAGTCTCGTAGCAGCAAGTCGACAATAGCAATTCCTGTCTGAGTTCCCAGCCTGTTAGTCTGCCCTACAATTATAGTTCAGATCCTACACAGATACGAATGTCAATTCATGTCAACCTTCAAACCAACCTTTATCTCCCTAACTACCATCTATGTGTCAATCTATCAATCACTGACATATGAATGTATTGATGCTATCATCTATTAATTTATGTATGTATGTATGTATGTATGTATCTACCATCTCTCTACTCATCTATCTATCATTTATATATGTATGTAGGCAATTACATATCTAAATAGCTACCTATTTTTCTGTCTAAGGGACATCATCTCTGCTTTTCTAGAATACATGACTGCCTTCCACTGAATGTAATATTTCATATCACACACACACATACACACACACACACACCATTGTGGAAGACACCTCTCACCTGCAGTAATTGTGATTCCCAAGGCCCAGCTTGATGGCATCCGGCCTCCTTGCATTGTAGGGCTTCAGGGACAGAGCACTGCTATTCCAGTTGATGCATTCAGCCCCGTTTTCTGCTGAGCTCCATGTGCCCCTATAGGTGATGCCCTGGTCCTGAAAGCATGCTGCTCTGGTATCTGATTGACATAAGGACAACAAAGGGCTCTCAAGGGAACTCTGCCTTGCCACAGCACGGAGGAGCAGGCTGGCTGCTGAAGCCAGTGGAGCTCAGAGTGAGCTGGGTGGACACGGTCACTCACAAAACCATGACCAAGCTAGACCGGGGATTGATACTTCAGGCTCTGACCATTTGGCACAGACTGTTGTTCCCTAAACAACCTCATCTCTTCTCCCCTGGAGCCTGCCCTCCAGCACACATGTTTGAAAGGCAGAATTTCAGAATGTCTCTCACACCCACCCACCAAAGTGCTCACCTATGTCACAGCGTTTCCCAACAAATCCATCAGGGCACTGACAGACAAAGTCGGAGAAATACAGGGCCTGCTGACACGTACCCCCATTGAAGCATCTTGGCTCACTGCAACCTGTCAAGCATAAACAAGGAAACTCCTAACTACTTTCAAAGTAGCTCCAAGAATATAGGAATTAAAATTGCAAAAGTATTCTGTACATCAGCCACCGTTCCACAGTTCACAGTGTGATTGTATGCGTATTATTTCCCACTTCACATATGTGGACACTGAGGCTGGGCAAGTGAAGGTTCTCCCCCCACCCTTCAGTTTTCTGGAATGCTATCTCCTTTGCCTGGGAAGATCACACCCAAAATATGCTGAAGCTCTGAATATGCTAGGGACCACAAAGGAAGGGTTTGGGCCCTGGCTCTGAGCTCAAGTGCAAGGCCTCCTTGAGAAGTGGGTACGTACTCCTGACAGGCACCGAGTGGCATTGCATGGAGCCACCATTGCACCGGCAGTATTCCACCCGACTGCTTCTGATCATGGGACGAAGCCACGACTGAAGATGTTGGTAAGTTGTCTGTGTTTGTTCATCTCTGCAAGTCACTGCAACACAAAACAGGCTTGTCTTTTCAGGACAGACTCAAGAAGAGGGGAAAGCCTGGCTCTGCTTTCAACACATAGTAAACCATGAGGTCTACAGTGGCACTGTGGTGACTCCTATAGTTTGTCCTGAACATGTGTAGCTTTTATTGTCTCTATTCCTTATAAAACAAATCATAATGCCCCATTATTTTTACATCTGGAACCATAGCATGTATAGTACATTAGATATTGTGGATAATCTGGAAGTGGTTTAAAGTATATGGGAAGATGGGTTTTGTACAAACATCAGATCATTTTACAAAAGAGATTCAAACCTTTGTGGATTTTGGTACCCCAGGGAGGCCCTAGAACCATCCCTTAGGAATTGTGATAACAAATATTTATTTTTTTTTCACTAGAACTCTCTTATTATTCTTATCTTCCTTGGATAAACCTTTGCTTTGAGATAATTTGGCTATGAAAATAAATTTATATTAAGTAATAGTCTATTTTCCCACTTTAACCAGTCAAACATAATGCTGGGGTGGTTGTGGTATATGCCTTTAATCCCAGTACTCAGGAGACAGAAGTAGGCAGAACTTTGGATTCAAGGCCAGCCTGGTCTACAGAGAAAGTTGCAGGGCTACAGAGAAACCCTGTCTTGCAAAAACAAAACGAAACAAACAAAAATGATACCTCTCTATGTAACTGACTACCAGGTTTCTAATCTATAGAGTATTACCATTCAGAATAAGGAAAACTAGCACTTACATCTGTCAGAAAATGTGCTACTTTCAATAGTATTTCTCATGTAATGAAAATATAGCAGGAATTTAGCAATTGCTTTTCTAATAGAGTATTGACTTGGACCACAGGTTAACTCAGAGTGAGGTGAGAGCCGGCACACCCGCCTTGTGTTTTATCTGTCTCCTTTGCTTTGAGTCAGACACTGACTCCACTAAGGTATCTTATTCATGCAGTGTCCACCCAAAACAAAACAAAACAGTGATAGCAAGGAGTTCTACTCATCTTCAAGTTGAAGGGACAAAGATTAGAGTCCAGGAGGCTCCAGATTTCAAAGGCTGCCCAAGAGTGTCCAATCATCTTCCTAAACCTGCAATCACCTTGGCTTCCAGTAACAGCACAGCCTTGCAGGACAGATAAGCCTCATCCCATCCAGAGCTATTATCCACTAAGGGGGTGGGGGGCTGGGCCTACATGAAGGACAGCATCTCAGTGGCATCCAGGTTCTCCTCTCAGGCCACATCATGGGCAGAGGTGCTCCATTTGCATGGTCCTAGTCTCTACTCCTGCTTCATTCTGCATAGCTCTAGCCTCTATTCCAGATCCTTCTCCACTGAAAACAGGAGCTCCAAAAGTACCACAAGAGACAGTCTTAGGACACTGAACCCCTTTATTTGTTCTTCAGAGTTTAGAGAAGTGTTCCAAACCTGGGCTTGGTGATACCCATCTGTAATCTCAGCACTTAGGAGGCTGAGACAGGAGGATTGCTGAGTTTGAGGCCTGTATTAGTTACACAGTCAGTCCCAATCCAGGCTATTATAATGAGACTCTATCTCCAAAAACAAAGAAAAATCATAAAATTAAAAAGAAAGAAAATAAAACGAGACAGAGAGAAAGGCCTAGCACCTCCTCACCTCCACCAAAGAAAGAATGAAGGCAGGGAAGGGAGGCAGAGAAAGACGAGGAGAGAAATGGAGAAATGGGGAATGGAGGGGAGATAGAGAGAGAGGGTGTGGGTGGGGGATGGCAGGGACCTGAAGCTGGACATAGAGCTCTGACTTTAGCGTCAAGGAAGTCAGTTGTGGGTACTCTTCACTCTTCTTGGAATCCTGATGGAAAAACCTTTGCTTTCCAGAATTGACTCAAGACATAAACTTATATGGAGAATTTTCTTCCAAAGCCTCTGTGAGGCAGCCCAGGCCAGTTATTCCGGTTTCAACAACAGGAAACAATGGAAGCTTGGGGATGGTAGCAGATGCTGAGTGTACATTGGAGAACCTACAGTCCAAGAAGAGCTAGAGGGCTGGGCAGCTCTACCTTCCCAGGTTCTGCTGGGGTCCTTTGGTAGCCTTAGTGAGTCATCTCCTCCCACTAGGGCTGTTTCCTTGACTCTGCATCAAATACTTTGAGCCATGTTGAGACAGGGTCTTGCTGTGCAGTCCAGAATGGCCTTGAATCCATGATCCTCCTGCCTCAGCCTCCCAAGTGATGGAACTTTAGACATACAGCCCCTTCACACAGCTTTATGTCACCAGCTTTAATATCCCCTGACAGTCTGATTGGGTTCCCCTGGGAACTGGGCTGGCTGGCTCCAGCTGACTGACAAGTAGAGAATAGGCAGACATTTCCACAAAAGCACATGAGCTCACAAGTGAGGACCTGGTGGAAGACTGATCAGTCAAAAGCGTTGTGAGGCCTGGGCCTGCTTCCCTCTCCACCCCTTACCTCTGTAGGACCGGGCTCCTCTTCTGAACCTGCTGTGCATTCCCTGCAAAGAGACCAGGGTGGAGGAGGGGTCAGCACAGGCTGGGCTAAAGGGACCAGGAGCCACCTATTCAGGAGTTCCTTTTGTCAGGTCTCCACCCTTTCTACACACACAGTACCACCCAGAAGAACTCTTGGCACAACAGAAATGCTTCCAATTTGTGTTGTCCGGTGCAGTAGTCACTAATCCCACCTGGCCACGGACTGCACAAAACATAGCTAATGTGACTGGTGAACTGCAATTCCAATTCTATTTAGGTCATTTTAAATTTAAGTAGTGGTGCATGGATAGTGGATTCCAGAGGATGGAAAGGCTGCAGCTCCTTGTGTCCGTTATGGAGCCATTGGGATGCTATATAATGAGAAATCTTGTGCCTCAGTATAGCCCATTAGGCCTTTTACAGTACCCTGTAAAACCTGAGGTGAGGTTTTGGAAAGTGGGTGCAGCGTCTGTCCCTCTACTCCAGTAGTTCATGATACCTGTCTTTTCTTAGTACCCTATGGATGCATTCAAATACATTTTCCCCCCCTTGGTCTGGGGACTATATCCCAGGCCCTATACTAGCCCTTTCCCCCTGAGCTTCACCCCAGCCCTTGGTTTTTTGGAGCCTATGTTAATGCTAATGATCTCCCCACCTCCTCACTGGTGGGATTGCTAATGTGCACCACCCTACTCACTTGCTAACAAAATGGCTCTGAAGAAGACAGTCAAAGGTACAGAAGCAGCATTAAGAACTGTTCAGTTGGAGACATACTTGGATTCTGCTGCTGGGATTTGAACCCTAAATATCTTTCCCAGAGGGGATTGTATGCAGTGTGTCTGTGACCATTCCTGAGAACTTCTCCCATCCTGACATGTTTGGGGAAAGCATGTGATGGATGATGTTGAGGAATATTATTTTCAAGTGTGTGACTTTTGTTTATGCTGCATTTGTTTAACACTGTGAGGTTGTGATTCTTTGCCTGTCTAAAACACCTTATGGTCCTGATAAAGAGCTGAACGGTCAATAGCGAGGCTGGAGCAAGGATAGGTATAGGGCGGGGACTGGCAGGGAGAAAGGATATATAGAAGCAGAAGGTGAGGATTGGAGGATGTCAGGGACCAGCCAGCCAGCCAGCCAGCCAGCCAGCGAGTAAGAAGGAAAGTAAGATATACAGATATAAGAAAGTTAAAATCCCAGAGGGAAAAGGGAGATGGGTTAATTTAAGAAAAGCTGGGTAGCAACAAGCCAAGCTATGGTCGTGCATTCATAACTAATAATAAGCCTCCATGTGTGATTTATCTGGGAGGTGGGTGGTAGGCCCCTCAAAAAGCCAAAAGAGTAAAGTACTGCACAACAGGGTAAGGCATGGATGTGGACTTACCTGTCCAGGCAGTGTGAAAAGTACTCCGAAAAGCAGCAGTACACAGAACAGCTCTGTCTTCATCTTGTTCCCCATCTCTTCTGTGCCCCTTAAGTTTTAGAGGAAAAATAAAAGCAATTAAGCACGTGATGGGGGAGGGAAAAGGACCATAGGAAATTCAGACTCTGTGACTTTATCTCGGGGGACCCTTTCAGCATTGACTCTTACAGACATCGGAAGAGTTTACACATGTCCATCTGTCTATATAGATATATAGATATGGATATCATCTGTGTCTGTGATTTTGGCTACATTGCATACATCATAGACATGGAATCACGCAGTGTCTGTCCTTCTTTATAGGTGTGGTCACTTAGCACAATGTCCTGAAAGGTCATCTACATTGTAGGATCCTTTCCCTTTCTGAGGCAGAATGATATCCCATTGTTTAGACCACATTTTGCTTATGCAGTTATCTGCTGATAGACAGTGGTTGATGAAAGCCATTTTTCCCAGATTCCTGTGGGCCGAAGAGTAAGTAAGACCATCCCTGGTACTTCTTGGCCACCCAGGAGCCTCACTTCCTGGGATGAGCTAGGAGTCACAGTATTGTCCTCTCTGACTATCTCAGAAGTGGTTGTAGGGATTCTATCACTGGCCTGTCAGGGCGCCAGGTCACTGCCTCAGATGTCACAGCTTTGGTAATTTTAATGAAGGCTCCCTCCATGTTAGTCCCAGTTCCCTTTGGAGTATCTGTCTCCTTTTATACAGACACAGATCTGGTAAAGAGCAGATCTGCAGAAACAGAGGAAGCCTCTGCTGTGTGCTCACTGAACTCCTATCTCCTTTGAACCCCCCTCATCCAGTTTCCACTTGCCTTCCCCCATGCTTTCTGCTTTTGGTGGCCAAAAGTAGGTTAGTTGGCCCGGTTCTTTTGTGGTCTGGCAAGCCCTCTCACTCCTCTGTCCACAGCATCAAAGCAGGACTTTCCTTCCCCTGACTCATTTCCCTTCAGTCACAACAACTCTGATTCCCACCCCTATACACTCAGGCCCCCACAAACCACTGGCTTAGAAGGCTCCCAGGATCCATCCTGCCTGCAGCTGGCTCTGGCCTTTGCTTTTTGAAAAGAACTGACTTTTGGGAGCACAGCCTAGCTTCCTCAGGTGCCCCAAGATCCCTTCAGCTCCAAGAAGAAAACAGAAAGCATGGTTGAGCTGGGAGACGACAGCCTACTGCATCCATCTGGGGCCGCAGGGAGGGAGTACAGAGCTGCAGTGAGAATGTAGAGTACAGCAAAAGTGGTTCAACAGGAAAGTGTGTGTTGGGATGGTGGTCACGGCCAGAGGATGGAATGTAGCCACTGTGGAGGGAGCATGAGACTCAGAGAAAGGAGTAGAGACCCAGAGATGGGGGAGGGCACAAGTGCTGGGGATATGAGAAGGAGCAGGTCATGGGCTCCCTGACCGGCCCTCACCCTCCATGACTGTTCTCCAGGGCAGGAATGAAAGGACTCCCAGGATCTTCTTGACCTACCCCTAGCAGGGTTGACTGGGGCCTGTGGAAACCTTTCCTCAGTGGAGGGCCAGCTGAGCCTATAACACCTTTCTGCCACTGGTAACTTCAGAAGGAAATGGCAATGGAGGCCACTCAAACAGGCATGTGGAATCTTTTCATGGGTATTTTTCCCTTTCTCGGCTTCCTTTAACTTTTTCCCTAAAAAAAAAAAAAAAAAAAAAATTCCACTTAAACTCACCCTTAATTCTAGTAGAATTAAGTGTAGATATCCCCTGACTTTTCTGCCCTTGTAACCTGGTGGTAGCCTAGAGGACAGGAAGAAACTGAACATTTTTTGCAAATGTGATTTGATGACTCAACGCTTCTTCCTTTTCACACCAATCAGCCCATTCAAGGGGGGCTTTCTGGGTCTTTGTTCTTGACACCTAAGTTACTGGGGTTGCTTTTGTGGTTCTGAGGTAGGATCTTGCTATGCAGCTGGTTGGGTCTTGATAATAGGGAAATGGTGTCAAGTAAGCCGGGCTCTGGAGAAGCAGCTGAGAGCTTTCATCTTGATCCATAAGCATGAGGCAGAGATTGGGTGGGGACTAACTGGGAATGGTGTGGGGTTTTGAAACCTCAAAGCCCACCTCCAATGACACACCTCCCGCAACAAGGCCACATCTCTTAATTCTTCCCAAACAGTTCCACCAACTTCGGCCCAAACATCCAAATATGAGTCTGTGGAGGTCATTCTTGTTCAGACTACCACAGTGGGATTACAGGAATTCCCCACCACGCCCAACTAACTCAAGGCTCTCTTGGTATCAGACAATTGCAGAATAAAAAGTGCATCACTGATCCCTGTGCACACCCTCCTCTCCCCAAGAGGCCAACTCATCCTGATCGACAGGATAGGAAGGACAACAGCTGAAGAGGCAGAGCTCATGGATGGAGCTGCATTGAATCATAGAGCCCTTCTCTACAGGAGGGACCAGAGCTCAGACATTAAGGACTTGTCATTTATCTGCATCTGGGCCTTTGGCCTTGCTGAGCTAGCGAAGATGAGTTGCACATAGGTAACGAATAACTCTCTCCACACTCCACAGAGACAATCCTAGCAAGCTGCTGGATGGGCCACATGGCATAAGTGGATGACAGGGAAATTAGTCACATGCCAGATGAAAAACAGTAGAGCCCCAAAGCAGGAGAAAGAGTGTGGGGGAAACTTGGTTTGATTTTGTGGAAAATGTGGGTGCCGAGGTCACCGGCAATGCTGGGACAAAACATGAAGTCTCCAGTAGAAGTGTGGGCCTTAACTCAAGGCCCAGAGGGTGAGAGTTTGGCTCCATAGACTCTGAACACCCATGGGTACTAGTGGATGGGATTTAAGGAATACATCTGAGGCTTGCTTTATGAGTACAAATACATACATTTTTTTCCTCTGTGTACTCTTTATGTTGCATATATAGTAATTTCCCAGTATTATTAAAGAACTAAAATGAAACAAAACAAGCAAACAAGAGGAAGGAAGGAAGGAAGGAATAGAAGGAAGGAATGAATGGAAGGGAATGGAGGGGCAAGGCAGGGAAGATGACTATCTTAACTTTTGTTGGGCTGTTGTCCCAGGACACTAAGAGGGTGATAGAATGGCTAGTTGAAAGACCTATTGTCTCTAGCTCCCAAAGGCCCAGCCATGGCATGCCCACCCTTGCAGAGAACTGAATTTAATGGATTAGAAAGAAGCACTTTCTTTAGTGATAGTGCAGCAGGCTCAATCTAGGTTTCCAGGAAGTGTGATGTTAACAGGCATTCTTGTGTAGCATGTAACCTGAACATCTGCATTTGTCAGTCAAATCTTCCTCTGAAATACATGCTCATTTCGTGGGCAGCTAGACCCTTCCTGCCTGCATGCCAGGTGCAGTCCTGTCAGCTGCAGCAGCAGCCATGACACTGCAGATTGCCCCCTCATCTGCAAATGATGGGAGAAAGGGAAGATGATAGGGGACTTCCGATAAGCTGACTCTCCTTGGAGATAGACTGTTTTCAAGAGCCAAGGACATGGACCATTTTGAGAGAGTGAATATTGTACCAGAAGCATGCCGTATGTGGGAATAGCACTCAATAGATGCCAAGCAGTAACTGCTAGATTCTGGATTAGACAAAGCTACTGGATTAGCAATAAAGTGTTTGGCGGAAAGCGTTGGAAAAGGCAGATGACATGTTCCCAGGGCCTTTTCATGGCCCTGTCCTCTTTGTATCCCTCATAGGACAGTCTTTCCCCAACAAAATCTGCTCTCAGGAAGGAATTTAACAACTCATTCCCAGAAAGGAAAAAAATGACTGAATGAAAAGATGGTTAATGATGCTGCTCCCCATATTGAGACAGAAAAACGAGCTCCCAGCAAAGCAAAGACTAGCTAGACTCTTGGAGTTCTCCTCCAGAGCTAGTTTTCTGGGGCATCTGTTGTAACATAAGTGATGACACTCCTGTATATGGATAAAGCGCTCTCACTCATACACTGGCCACAGTTCCCTTCTTTATACATGTAGGAAAGTGATTTGCAATAAAGAAACCACCTACATACATGTGATCAACTGTATACATTTAGTGAGAGATTTTGTGCAAGCTATGCTACTGTTCATTTAGAGGTTGGGGCACTGGGGGCTTGGGCTTTGCATTTGAGCAAGGGAGCCAGCAGGTTAGGGGAGGCCACAGCCTGATAGGAAAGGCCACTGGGAAGCCACACTGCTGTCAAATTTCGTATTGTATGCTAGGCTGTATTGCTTCCGTCTTTGCCAAGGACACTCCGGTTCTTATTGCTTTGCTAAAAAATTAATTCCTCGGAGATCTAAGTTGGGAGTCAGCTTTTAAGAGTAACAATAATCCTAAAATAACACATGGCCTTGAAGCCACACTTCCACCCACACTCCACACCACAGTCCAGAAAGCCAACCCATTAGAAGTCTCTAGAACTCCTGCAACATCACAGGCATGTTTCTAGAACAGATAAAGAGGTGAGGTGAGTTGTTTTAATAGAAAGTGGGTCTAGAATCGGCAGCAGGCTACCATAGCAGCTCCCCTCTGGGCCCCTGGACTGGTGGCACACGCCCAGCACTTAGCGGCAGAGGGTAAAGGACTGCAACAATTTTGAGGCCAACCTGGGCTACATATCAAGGTCCAGCTTCACAAAGACTCTGACTCAAAAGAATGGAAAAACAGAGCATTGACAGTCCACCCCACCCCCATAGACAGTGGATTTTATTTGCCTCATTTTTCAGGGAGTGCATGTACTGGTGATTAAAAAAGCATGCTGAGCAAGCTAGGTTCTACCATTGACCTACATTCCTAGCCCTTGGTTTTTTTCTTTCTGGGGCTTAGTCTTTGTTTTGTTGTTGTTGTTGTTTTGATTTAGACAGGATCTTCCTATGTAGCCCTTGTGGCTTAGAACTTGCTGTATCCTTCAGGCTGGTCTTGAAGTTTTGACCTTCCTGTGTTTGTTTACTGGATGCCTGTATGACAGGCATGCACCACCACACCCAGTCAAACTATTTTCAAAGTCTGCCAGCAAACTCTAGATGCTTCAGCAGGTTAAGGCAATGATGACCTGAGTTCAAGTCCAGAGACCCACATGGTGGAGAAGAGAATCAACTCCTGAAAGTTGTTCTTGACCCCAAGCATCAACAAATGCACACACACACACACACACACACACACACACACACACACACACACACACACACACACAAATCAATAAACAAATATAATTTTCAAAAGTAATTCTTAACTTCTCAAAAAAGTATTTTTCCATAGGTCAAATGCTTATTTTTTCTTTTCAATTTTGAACAAATCTCTTTGTAACGATGAGAAAAGAATTTCCCCTTCCTTCCTTCCTTCCTTCCTTCCTTCCTTCCTTCTTTCCTGTGTGTGTGTGTATGTGTGTGTGTGTGTGTGTTTGTTGATACAGGGTCTCATGTAACAAAGCCTGGCCTTAAATTTGCTGTGTAAATGAAGTAGCTGAGGCTAACCCTGAACTCCTAAACCTCTTGGCTCCATCTTGCAAGGGCTTGGAAGATTCTGCCTCTTGATATAATTTGACAAGGAGGTGAAAGATGAGTAGAATCCTCTCTGGTGCCCTACCCGCCAGGATACACATAGCATTTTTAGCGAGTAGGCATGGCTTGTGTTTAAGCTACATGGAATTAGCCTAGGGAAGATCTGCAACAGCCATGTTGACTCTTCTGCTCTACCTCCTACCAAGTGATCTGGTTGTTGGAAGAAGCAAGCAAATGTGGACTGTAGGTTTAGGAAGTGTATCTTGCATCCTCTTGGGATAAAAACAAAAACTTGCTTTAATGACCTCATAGCCTGCTGAAGAAAAGGCGAGCATTCAGTGCCATGCAATGCTCACTCCAAGCTGGAGGCTAAACAAAGAGAGTCCAGTATCCTTCTAAGCTCCCGGGTTCCTTTCACTCCCTAAAGCAAACCCCACCCTACCCAGGTGCAGCGAATTAACTGTGAAATAATTTGGTAATTTCTCAGTCTGTCTCTGGATGTTAATACTCTTGAATCAGGTCCTGATCAGAAGTGTTTGTCACGCCCTTTCATGAATGAATGTGAATTTTACCAGCATTTCCAGAAGTAGTGCTTCAGTGCAGTGAGCAGGGATGAACATGGATTCTCAGTTCCTCACCAGGGACCTTCATGCCTGTCACTTGCCTGGCACTGGATTTTCAAAGCACCTTCTATTCATTAATCACTTAAGACAACATCTCTCACTTTACAGATATGACACCAAGACAGAACTTCAAAAGCACTCCCTGATGTGGTAGGTTGGAAACTGACACCTGCCTCCTGAGCTATCCTGGTCTCCAAGCTCTTCCCACTTAGTTTCTGCATGACACTTGCTCATGACATACTTTAAAAAAAATTTCTGGTGCTGTGGGTTGCACCCAGAATCTTGCACATACTACACACATGCTTAACCATGGAGTTATAACCTAGCCCTACTAGTAACATTCTTAAAGTGCCCAAAGAACTAGCTTTTCTCAATGCAAAGAGCATGAGCCTTGAACTCTCAACTTAGACCCCCAACTGCCACTTACAGATCTGGGTGGGGCAGTGTTGCTTCTCGGAGCCTTAGTTTCCTGAGCTTCCCAATGAGCTAATTTTTTCCGTCTTGTGTATTTCCCCAGCAGTAGAGAAGTAATAGATACAGATCCTGGATATTGGATGCCTGACAGTTGTGCACTGCTCTTGTCATGAATTTCTTCATCGACAAGAGCTCAAATTGCTTGAAGCCACTGATAAAGAAGAGGTGCTGAGCTCTCAGGGGTCCTTATGGTTTCCAAGGGTTAATAACGAATCTTCCTAGCTCATAGTGGCACATGATAGAAACTGCCATGCCCTTTCATCAATGTTTAGAGAGCTGTATGAACAGGAGCCACAATTTCCTGAAAGTAGAGTGGTATCTTGTAACCCATCTTTAATCTGTTTTCTTATTTGTCTTTTTTCAAGCCAATTTACACCACACAACAGGACCTCTGAAACTCTTTGGGAATTTGGAATTAGCAGTTGACACACCTAGCTGCTTCCGTGTGGAGTCCTTGATCCTTAGGTGTAAACTAACAGAATATTTGCTTCCACATAATAGGCTTTCAGTAAAAAAGTCTACAGTGTGTGGGGCCAGCCTAACCTTGCACTGATAGTTCCAGAGGCTCCAGATCAATCCCCAAAGAAAATTCTAGGGCCCTGATGTGTGTCAGGCGCATCGCATCTCTCGGTTAGTCTGTATATCTCAGTCGGACCTGTCAGTCACAGGTCATCCCCAGAGTCTTGGCCAGTGGTGGGGCATGCACTGCTAAGGACACCCAGTTCTTTAATTACGGCATGCAGAACAGCTGGCTCGTGTTTCCTGGGCTATGCTGACACAGCTTTCCTGGGCTGCCCCTTCAAATATGCCAGAGAAATGAGTGCTGCATGACCAGCAATCTGCTTTATTCTCTGTTCCAGTAACCAGGAATTGAGTTTAATCTTACCTTGTGCTCCTATCTATAAAAGCTTGTCTCCCATACAAGGTGAAAGCAGACAGCTGGGCCAGTATTAGAAGACAATGATTGATGCTTCACCAAGGCTTTGAGAGTTTCTGCTTGTAATTTTCTTTTTCTTTCCTTCCTTTCCTCCTTCTCTCTCTATTTCCCTCTTTCTTTCGATAAGATCATCATTATTTCTCAGGCCATCCTTGAACTTCTAATCTTCTTGCCTCTATCACCTGAGTGCCAGGGATTAGAGGTGTTTTCCACCACACCCAGTTTATGTGGTGCTGGGAATCAAATCTAAAATCTCCTTGCATGCTAGGCAAACACTGCCAGCTAAGCCATGACCCTAACTCTAGCTCTAATTTTCTATAAATCTGGGTCATCAGCACTCTGATTGGGTTTGAAGTGAGACCCATCACATGGTGAGACCTGTCATGTGGCTAGCTCAAAGCTGGCATTCATTCTTGGTTTCTGTGTTTAGTCACTTCATCCAGAATTTTCTGCCAGTATGTATGCCCCAAAGCTAATGCCCCCCAAAAGGAATTAACAGAGTATTCCAGTATTTCATGACCTGATTTTTATCAGACCAGAGCTGGTAAACAAGCAAAAACACTATTCTGAGACAATAGATGCACAGTTGCCAAGTACCAGATCGCATTGACTGTTTCAGCTCAGACCGCAAAAGGCTGTCCCTCACAGAGGCTTGGTGTCTCACAGAAGTGTGGGAATTTTACAGTTTGAATGAAGCTAAATCACAGCCTCTGCCATTAGATTGAAAACAACCACATGTGTTTCCACCTCAAGCTCACCAGCCCTTCCAGTTGATGAGCCCTGCAGGATTCTGAGTCATTCTCACCCTCTGGCTGAGCACACCACTCAGTGCGCGCTCTGGAAGTGTGCAGCTTCCTCTCACCAGTCCCCAAAGCCTTAGCAGAAACAAGGATACTCCTCAACTCCTAGCTGCACCAAACATCCTTGGTCTGGGAGGAAGCAGACAGGCTGCACTGTATCTCTCTCTCGGGAAGTTTCCCAAATGATCTGGTGGTGTCCTGGAAAGTGTGCCCTAATAATCCAGCTTGGTGTGTGTGTGGGGGGGGGGAGGTGCAGCTAGTATTGTGTCTATCAAGATACAGGCTGGCCCTTCTGAGAACACTTTGGGTGGAATAAACTGATGGGCAGAGGGAACTATTTTAGGTGTTTCCAGTATCTAGTCTGGCGAATGAATATGATTTAACCTCCACTGGCTGTATGCACTCAGCACACTGCTGACCTGCACTGATTGGTTCTGTATAGGTCAGGGTCTGCAGCTCAGAAAAAAAAAAAAAAAAAAAAAAGCCCCAAGTAGTTTTGCAGTAAGTATACTCCAGTTGTCTTTGTGATGTGTTCATGTGATTGTAAACACCCACCTCCACCACACACATACTTTTTTTGTATATGATCCTGCCCCATTATCCCCTTCAGAAGAACAAATTGGCCACCAGATAAACCATTGCTGCTGCATTTCTTTGCACTGAAGTTTATCCTTGGTTATCTGGGAGCTCCGCATACTTTTCTCCCTCCCCCACTCCCCTCCTCCCTCCCCCCCCCCCCCCCCCCCGTCTCTGTGAGATTAGGAAAGCAAACGTCCCGAGAATTCAGAGAGCTTTAGAATTTTTCTGCTGCAGCACGAGAAAGCAAGGGTATCGGTGCATGGCGAGCAAGGGGTGAAACTGACCGGCAAAGAGTGGAGAGGATGTGATGAACGCCATGAGGGACCAGAGGCAGCTTCGCATCCTGACTGCAAGTGCTAATGAGAGGTTCCTGAAAGTTCTTTCTCCCAGCACTTCCTGCCCAGTTAATCATGCTGTCCAGGCTAATACCCCTCCTTGATGCCCAGCCTGTTTCTTAGTGAGTCCATTGAGGAAAGAACACCCGCCAGGACCCACTAGGCTCTCCAATGTAGTTGCTGCCGGTTAGGGCCGCTCCCATTGTCTGTTCAAAGAACCCGACTCATTCTTTTTACTTTCTCTCCTTACTGTGCAAGCAAGACTTCTGCAAGAAACGCATGTCTCCTATTCTCTCCTAGGAATCACTTCAGTTTAAAAGGAATCATTGCAAAGAGCTTCCCCTTCTGTGCGGATGCTAGCTGGTCCTCTTTCTGCCTGAATTACAAGTCTGTGCTTGCATTAAGCATTCCTTCGCTGCCTCAGTTTCCTCCTGCCTCACAACCCCCAAACATTTCAAAGAGACAGAAGAGGGGTTAGGCACAGACATCCAGCTTACCGAGAGTTCTTGCTTCTTTCCCAGCCTCGCAGGGGCTGCTTCTTGCCGCTGAGTTGTTGGGTCGCCGCAGCTCTGTCTCCTTGAACAGTTCAAGCCAATTTTAAGGGTGAAGGAGGGGTGGGGCCAGTGACTCCGTGTGGGCGGATTTCTCCTGTGCCGGTGGGTGCCGGGTGGACCCGGCCACTAATGAGCCAATGGAGCAGCCTGTGTCTCTAAGGAGGGGGAGGAAGTGCGCGCGCAAGAGCACAGCCAGCCTTGGCTTAGCGCCAGCTTGATTATTCACCATTGATGTCATCGAATCACAGGAATTTTCGGAGTTGGAGGGGACTTAAGAATCATCCTGTTTTAAAATCCTGGTCTTAAAGGCCTAAAAGGGGCTCGCAGGATCGGCTGCTCTAAGCCACTGTCTTGACCATGAGTTTATAGTTTTAAACAGCTCCGCCCGACTAGGGACGTCTTCTGGAATCTGAAGTAGTAACTATGCCTCAGGACAGATGGATGCTGTGCCGGGTAGGGACTGACTGGGGACAGTAAGCACGTGACTTCAGGGCTGTTGGTGCTCTCCCTACCTCTGACCTGTGGCTCTCCCTAGGCCCCTGGGCTGGGCCAGTTCTCAGAGGAGGGCTCTCAGGGAATTGAGAACAGTGAAGGGAATGCTGCAGGTCTTTTCTGCTTAGGCCTCTGAAATTCTATCACTAGCCATCCTTCCCCTAAGCCCTACCCCGGAGGGGGCGCAATGGAAACTGCCATTCCGATTGCCTACTACAAACACCGTTTCCCAACCTACAGAAGCCTCAACAGTCCCCCCAAAGTCCAGTCTAGCAGTCTTCCTCTGCAGCTGTGTGCACATCAGAGAGGCTCAGCAAGTGGCCTCTGTCTACTACTCTTGGCTGCAGAGTGGAGAGGAGCGTTTCTCAGCAGTCATAGTTGCCCAGCTTTGCTGAAAGCACACAGGAAAGAGAGCAGCTGAACCCCACAGCTCCAGAAACCTCAGCTTTGCTTTTTCTACCATCTGTGAGTTTGTTTCGCCTGTCAGACTCCAGGGCAGCCCCAGGAGCCGGAGGCAGGAGAAGCTGATGCCCTGACAATGGGGATTTTGATTTTAGTCAAAGGTTTGCCATGGGGTGGGAGAATGAAAATAAATCTTGATGACATTACATCCTGGGAAAATTGCCTAGAAGCCCTTTGCTTTCAAGAGAAATGAAATCCAAGTCCGATAATATGGGGATGGGTGGGTAAGGAGAAGTATGGAAGAAAGAGTCCCTAAGGGCTGGCTTCTTCAGTGTTGGGTCTTCTCTGGAAAAGTGTGTCACCTGTTGGAGGCAGAGGGTAGAGGACAGATGATGGGCCACCAGGACAGAGACCAGGATGACACTAAACACTAAATAAGAGATGTGACTCTGAGAAAAACCCAAGGAAAGAGAGGCCAGCAAGAGACTGGCAGTGCAGGCATGAAGCAGGACGATAAACAAGGGAAACATCCAGCTGGGGTTATTGGAGCTTACCCTGGTGCTGTGGCCCCTCATGGCATGCCACCAATGGTCCTGTATTCAAATTAGACACTACCAAAATGCAAGGCTCACAGGCCCCGCCCCACTGCTCCCAGAGAATGCATCATTGGCTATTAGCAAATGTGATGGCAAGGGACTTTTCTTCTGTGATATAGTTGACTGTGCTTCCATAGGTCACCCCTCACCCACACTCCTGTAAGTAACCCTAGTTAAACTGGTTGTTTAATACTCTAAGTTAGACTCGTGGAATTGTTTCTTGTGTCTGTCCTCAGAAACATGTCTAGGATGAAAAGACATTTGTTTATATCTCCATAGAGATTAATGCAGCATATACTATCTAGGCCTTCATCTAGACTGGAGACTTGCACTGGCCAGGTATGTGAATTGCATGATCACACACCCTGGGAAACAATGGATGTGATAAAGGACAGCATGAAAGTAGCCCTTAGAAATGGAGAAGCCTATGAAGAATTACTCACCAGGCTGTACCCGAGGACTTTACATCATTCTTTCAAATCTCTAGTAAGTTTGAAATGACAAAAATTAAAAGTTAAAAATCAGATAATTCTCTTGGAGCAGTAACTCTTTGAAATGTTTAATCTAATAATACTAAGTTTTAAAGTTCCACACATAATTATAATAGATCTGAAGCATTGGGTTCTTTTTGGCTAGGCTATGTAACTCAGGCTGACCTTGAACTTCCAAGAGTGCACCATCAAGCCTGGCATAAAACACTGTTTTGTGTATGTGACACTGGAAACAATTAAGTCAAAAATAGAGACACAGTGCCTTACGACATATCAGCATAGAACAGTATTGTATAGTATTAGGATGGCTGATAACTATATAAACATATCAAAACTAGTAATAGCACCTTGCTCCCCCACCACCACAAGTACATGGAAAACAAATTTGTATGTGAGCTGCGATGTGAATTCTACAAACTCCACAGGAATGAGTGAGAAAAGATTAAAACAGAACTATAGTGTTTGAGTACTGAAGTGACTGCTGGATTACTTTTAGTTCCCTTCATGGTACCTGCACACTGTCCTGAGAAAAAGAAAGTGATTCCATACTGGATGCATGCAGGTCTGGATGTGCCCAGCCCATGACTATCTCTGACCAGGTATGAGGAAGCAATGGCTGCCCATAGGAGCAGGTTCCAATGATAGAAACATGCCTTTAATAATTAATTGTAGACTTGTTCATGGATTTATTCAGCTTCTTTCCAAATACATATTTTCATGCCATCCCTTGGTAATGGGGATAAAGTTTCTTTGTTCTTCAAAATTGGATTCCCTTTCTTTGGGCTTACTGCCCTTCAGTTGAGTTTCCAATCCAGTGATAGTCACCCACAAGCTATGTGGCCCATTAAGAGACCAGGGTTAAACACCAGGAAGTTTGTTCTCCTCTCTCTGTTTGCCTTGTGTTTAGATTTGCTTTCTTGTGTTTCAGATGAGAGTGGTAGACTCATAGGTTTATTATATGACTCAAATAGGATGCCATGGGAAAGAAAATGCTTTTTGATGAATGATTTGCTGTTGGGGGTTTAATAAATGACATTTCCAGGGCTGGGCATGTGGGTCAGTAGCAAGGTGGCTGCCTCTGCTCAGGTGGAAAGCCCTTTCTTTGGAAGGGAAGGTTCTTTGTTTTTCTTTGCTCTCTCTCTCTCTCTCTATCTACCTCTCTGTTTTGGTTTTCTGGAGACAGAGTTTCTCTGTATAGCCTTGGTTGTCCTGGAACTAGCTCTGTAGACCATGCTGGTCTTGAACTCTTAGAGATCCGCCTGTCTCTGCCTCCCAAGTTCTGTGGAATTAGAGGTGTGCACCACCAAAGCACGACTTTCTCAAGCTTTCTCAAACTATCTTCTAGGCAACATTGCTGTCGCACACATAAACAAAACCACTGCATCTAATGCAAGGTAATAAGAGGGGAAACTGCGGAAGACAAGAAATGTGGGGGAACACTGTGCCTTCTGCTTGACTTTTCTTTAAATGTAAGACTGCCCTCAGAGGTCTAGAGAGATGGCTCAGTAGTTGAGAGCATGCTCTGCTTTGGTAGAGGACCTGAGGCTGTTCCTCCACATCCACATCAGCTGACACCTGCCTGTAACTCCAGGGGCTCCAATGTCTCTGGCCTATATACACACATGATTAAAAAATTAATAAAAATATAAAAATAAGTCTTTTCAAAAACTGCTGTAAGAAATTTCTATTTATTTTAAAAGGGCTTGAAATGTATACTAGAGCATTTACTATTACATATTACACATAAGCTCTTGCTTATTTTGATGAGGTTAGATGTTCTGTGAGGTCATTCACTGCCCCCCCTTTCATGCCAGCATATTTCATGCCCATGTCATAGTTTTGTACTTTTAAAGGTGTCCATGATTAATCATTTAGGAAAACAGAGCTATTCTCATCCAAGTTGTCGTTTCTTCTTTATAGTTTTCTTCTGTTTAGTTTTATCCTACTTTGTGTTGCTGGGGATAGTACCTAGTCCTCATGCTTGCTAGGTGAGGCACTCCAACTGTCCAGCTGCCTACGCCCAACCCTGGCACTTTAAGCTTGAGGATACGGAAAAGTGACAGCCCTAAAGCTCTTCCAGCCAACACTAGGATCCTTACTCTTCATTTCTTGTGGCTGCGGAATGCTTGTTCCCTTTCAGACATCCTGGGAGCTTTTTGGTAATTTAATTTGCTTGCTTCCTTGCTATTTTAAAATAGTGACAATGACAATAACCCAAACCGAATGACTATGCCAGTCCACTTCCTTCTGACCCCAACAGTACCTGTGTTGGGGGCAGGCTCTGTGGAGAGACCCTGGAGCTTGTTGCAAGCTCCTCAGGAGAGAGACACACTCCTAGCCAGCATAGTGACTTAGGCAGCAGCAGCTCCTACACCTGTTCGGTTTCCAGCTGGGGGCTGCTGGAGGCCAGGATAGCGCTGGCTGCCAAGCTCTACACTGAGCTCGCCTTCCTCTGCAATACCACAGGACAGCCTTCTCGTGCTTTCTTCCATTCTTCCCGAGCCAGGCACTTTTTCTAGTAAACACAGCCTCAGTATCACTTCCCACAACTCCTCTCCCCACCCATGCAAATGATGCATGATTTATAAAGATGCCCTTTTACCTCATTCTAACTGCATCAAACATTTTCCCCCATGAAGGATTTATAGCAATCCAAACAAATCTGAGGTCACTTCCCCGGTCCCAGTCTTCCTTTATCTATGGGGCACAGGGTTTCCCGTCTGATTTTAGTCACAGACTGGAATGGTGACATCTTGACTGTCCCTTGACCCATCTTACCACCTTTTCAGGAGTGGCTGAGTCCACAGCTTTTATTAGAAATTAAGGAAGTAAATTGGAGGTGTTGTTCAGCAGAGTAGGGCGCTTGCCTAGCAGGCAAGAGGCTCTGGTCTTCCATACCAAAACTGGAAGAAAAAAAAAAAAAGAATTGGAAGGAAAGAAAGAGAAAAAGAAAAGAAAAAGTAAAAGAGTCGTGAAGAGGAGTCAGCAGGACACAGAGCTTTGAATGGGCTCTGTGGAGCTGAGTTACCTCACCTAATGCTA